GAGTAACAACAGCTTCAACTTTCATATCACCAATGTCCAAATGTCCAAATTCAATAGCCTAACATGGTAATTAAGCACTTTATTGTTATTTTTGAAAAAACCAACACAGCCAGCGATATGATTAGTCGAGATGAAATCTTAAAGATTGACATCTTCTCCTGTTTGGATTTACATAATTTTCTTTATCGAATTATGAATCAGCGTTCATGAAGTGAATCCTTACTAGTTTCCTGAACTCTTATCTTACTTCAGCTTTTATGATCTTTTACGCTCCACTATATAAGTTGTTGTATTATTGTTTTTACCATAGCGGTTTAAAGCTTCTATCTTCAATATGGCTTACGACAGCTTGGACATTCGGATTAAGGTAAAATTGTTAGCTATTTGTTTTACTCATCAGTATGGTTTCTAGGCTTTTCGCTATGTAGCGACAGCTTCATCTGTTTTTTGTGTTGTTGCTGTTCTCTCCATCTGTGCAACGATTCCTATGATTTATGAGTTCCAAAACGAAGTTAAACAACGAATTTTGCAACAATCTGACTACTGTTCCGTAAGAATTATCATTATAATTATAAATTATCTTATATCTATATATAGAAATCGGTTCAAGACATCGTCACAGAGATGTCTTCGATTAATGAATCAACATTGAATCGTACAGCTCGTTCCATTCGACATAACCGTCAATATAACCAAGCTGCTCCAGTTGCTGGAACCACTGGAGGAGCATACTCGCAAGGAGCAGCCCAACAACCACAACAACAGAAACAAGGTACTTTTTGATCAGCATTTATCTTGTAAGAAACTCCCTATCAGAAAACGGATGCAATCCCGGACCACCTGGTTCAGCAGGACGACCAGGAAAGCCAGGACGTCCAGGACGTCCAGGAGCACCTGGAGCACCAGGAGCCCCAGGAAAGCCAGAAGCACCACCATGTGAAGCTGTTACTCCACCACCATGCCAACCTTGCCCAGCCGGACCACCAGGACCTCCAGGACCACCAGGAGGCCCAGGAAACGATGGAGCACCTGGACAGCCAGGACCTCCAGGAACACCTCCTCAACCTGGACCACCAGGACCACCAGGACCTCCAGGAGCTCCAGGAAATGACGGACAAGCAGGAGCACCAGGAGAAGCAGGGCCAGCCGGAGAAAGTTCTTATGCTGAAGCTGGACAACCAGGACCCCCAGGACCACCAGGACCCCCCGGAACTGCTGGACCAGACGGAAAAGCCGGAGAACAAGCAGGACCAGGACCAGCTGGACCACCAGGACCACCAGGACCAGCAGGAACTCCAGGAAGCGATGGTAATCCAGGAACAGCTGGACAACCAGGAGAAGCTGGAGCCGCAGGAGAAAAGGGAACCTGTCCCAAGTACTGCGCTTTGGACGGTGGTGTTTTCTTCGAAGACGGTACCAGACGCTAAGCATTCACTTAGTTTCAAAACGAATAAAAGAATTTCGTTCATATAATATCTTAACACTACAATGAAACTTGAAAGAAAACAAGAGAAACATTTATTATTATCATCAAAGATTTTTTTGTTGTGAACTGCGCCTCTGTCCTTTCGAATCTTCCTCTGAAGAAATTAGGAATCTGATGAGATTTCATATTGAAATCAGCTTGTGATCAACTCAAAGTTGTTCTGGTAGAGAAATTTGAACGATTTGATTTGGATTCATTTGTGCCATAAAAACGGTTCCATCGTCAGAAACAGCCAAAGCATGAACATTCTCGATTCCCTATAATAGATGTTCGTAGCTTGTTTGGTTGAAAAAAACAAATGGGATTGGCATACTTCAACAAAGGTATTGGCTTTTCCATTGTTCATATCCATAACGAATAACTGTGGCTCAACTGGTCCATTACCCATTCCCGTTACTCCAACCAAATAGTGTTCTGTGATTGTTAAAGAAAAATGTATTAGATTTATAGATTAATTAATTATTTACTTTTCTCACGAATGGCGAAAACACGTCCGATGTCATCAGCACTTGTGATTGGAATTCCCGTTGGAATGGTGCGATGTCCTTCTGCTAATCCAGCTGAATAACATTGAACTCTTTCATTTTCTCTTAAAAGTCAATTTTATAATAATTTAATTATGAATATGATTATCCAACCTATCAGCTACGCAGATCATATTCATATCTTCAATAAGAGCAAGTGAATGGGGAATGAGGAAGTCACTGGGTTCAGCTTCATCGGCAACTGCAAAGAACAGCTTCATTAGGCTCACTTCTATCTCTCTTTTTCTTTTCTTTTTTTTTCTTTTTTCACTCACTGCTTCATTTTATCTTGATTTTCTATTGTGTGTTTCCATTTCTCTTTAGTCCTCTCTCTCTATGTTCGCGTATGCATGTCTCTCTCTTCCTCCTCCTCCTCCATTTATTGGTCGAAAAATACTTTTTCAATCAACAAAATGTTTTTCAAAAAAAGAATTGTTGCATACATTACCAGTTTTCACATATTAAATGAAAAAGTTTTTTTTTACTTTCTAAATATATTTTTCTTGACTTTCAAAGTAATTAACAAACCAGCAGCTGCTCCGAATTCGTCAACCAGCTTTCCTTGTGGATTGAATTTCATTACTCGGCTATTACAGTAACCATCAGCGACAAAGAAAAAGCCATTCTTAGCGACAGCAATATCAGTTGGTTTACAGAAGTGCTTATCATCTGAACCAGGAACTAAAGCTTCACCCAAGCTCATTATGGGTCTGAAGTTCTTATCCAATTTGTGAACCTAAGAGAGATGGATTTGTGAATGACATTTCTATGGAGGTTTACTTGATGACTTCCGACGTCTGTGACCCAGTGATTACCTTCGTCGTCAATAGCTAGCCCGTGGGGCAAATAAAATAAGTTCTCTCCATGTTCCGAAACAACCTTAAAGTAAGCAAAGCATAGCCTTTTTTTCTTTCTCTCTCGTAAAGGTCACATACTTGGCCATTTTCGGGATTTATGACAGCGATTGTGGAATTTGGAATAAGTCCGAGCTTTCGGTTAAAAACATTTTTTTCATTAAATGTTCTTAAAATATATAAAAAATAATATTTTAATAAACTTAAGAGCAGTTTACTTTTCATCCCAGACACGATCAGCACGATGGAAGGCAACAACATTTCCTTTTGAGTCGATAGCTAATCCGGCAATGTTACCCAAAGGTTTTGATAAAGGAAGGATGGAAGCCTGCAATATTTATTTTTTTCTTTCTTTTTTCCATTTTTTTCTCTCATAAAAGCCAAAAAGGAGGTTTGAAGCTATTGTGTGAAATCTAATTGAACATCTCAAGAAAGATTCTTCAGATTTTTCCCTCTTCTATATGAAAGATTTTTCATGTTTATTCATGGAAATTGATGATGGAATAGGATGACAGACGAATGAAATTTGAAAGCTTTCCTGACGTCATAGGAGCTTTTATGGAAACAAGCACGAAACTGAATGCGAGTAAGAGTTTTATCCGGATCATTAGAGAGCGTAAATGAATAAATGAGCTCAAATTTACTATTTTTTAAATTTTTTTTTGTTTTTTTTTCCTTTTTCTGGCTCTCTCTACCTTCAATTGCTCTCTCGCTCTCACACATACGATGTAATGTGTGAACACGAAAAGCTCATTCAGCTTATACGGCCAACAACATCATAATTATTGTAAGAAAGAGAAATTTTGTTTCAAAAAAATATTTTTTTTGTCTTCAAATTTCTACAAAATATTTTTTGGATATGACAACAATTCCAGAAAAGGAAAACTTCTTTTTTTCCTCATGTAAACTCTTACCTCGGAGTCGGAGCTTGATGGTTCTTCGGCAACTGGGATTGCTGGATAATCACTGAATGGATCATAAGATAATTGCTCCTGAAAAAACTGTTGTAAATACTGACATTTAAACAAATTTATTAGAAACACTGAGAAATAGCTGTTTTTTTCTTTTTTTTTCTTGTTTTTTATGGTGAGTGAGGAGAGGAGTGACGTCATTTCGCTTGACGCTAGAAACATTCATGCATCTCATCTGATAAACTTTCCAAGAAAAGGTAATGAAACTTCTAAACCACACTAATATCTTAAAACGTGTATGGAACAACCACATGTACAGGTGTTTCAGACAGTTTTGTTAAAAAAAAATTTTTTGGAAATTTTTTTTACTATTTTATATGAAAGATCATACCGCATAAGGAGCTGGATCAGGGAAGATGGTAGCTGAAATCAGGTGTGGCCCTGATAATAGGGCCAGAAATGGAAACCACAAGGCCGAGGATCGCATCTCCAAATGGCTGGAAATCGATTGCCTCAGGGCTCCTGCATAGAGGCGGGCGGCGAGCTTATGTAGGCGGGCACATGTAGGGGCATGACGTCATGTACCCTGAAAAATATTTAAAGCAGATGAAGGAAAAGCTTCAGTTTACTGAGAACTATGCTAATGAGAACAAGTTTCAATATGTCAGATATTTCATTTTTGAAAAAGCCTTCATTCCATTGAATCCATGTTATATTTGATTTAATATAATTAAAAGAAGAGCTACAGTATGACATTCCAAACGTCAACCATCGAAATATGCACGGGCGTCATAATGGAACGAATAAATTATTGAAAGTAATACCTGAAGGAACTTCAGTTTTCAAGAATTACTTAACGTCTCTTCTAGTAGGTCAGAAATTATTTTTTTCCCAATTTCCCGAAATTTAATCCTGTACACATGAAGAGTTTTTGAAAGTGCAGAAGTTTAAATTCGATTTTATGCGAAAGGTTCTTTTCGCTTTTTTTTTGAAATAAAACGAAACTTGGGAACTTGATTCTTTCATGGAGTGAGAGAGTCAAGCCATAGAAGACAGCTTCTTGAGCATTAAACATCAATGATGATAATTGCTTGGTGATGAATGCATTATTATAGTGGAAACTCGATGAAAAATCTTTTAAATGTTCCATTTCCCCCATATAATTCACTCTCCCAATAAGATTATATCTACTTCCTGATAAATAAGCGCTCGGAACGGGGGCTGGAGTCGACACCGTATCGACTCAACACGGGTTGAAAACGCGCTCTATTGACAAGGGACGCCTACACGCCGTCGCATCGTTTAGCCTTCAGAAGGTTATGATAAGTTTTTTATTTTTTTCAAACTTGTTCTGCAATGTTATTTAACTGAATAAATAAATTGGTAAATTTGCCCTGAGCAAGTGATTAAGTAGTTTGAAATGGGATAGTTCACGTTCACTGCCAATCTTTGTTATTGTGGTTTTTTTCAAAATTAACATATTGATTTACATTTCTGTTAAGGTTTCTTTGGAAAGGGTGCTTTGCACTCTGATATTTCCATTTTATGCTGGTACATCATGGTGCAACAACAGGATGTGGAGGATGAATTTGATTTGGAAAAAATTGATACAGAGATGCGTCTTGAAAAAATTAGACAATCAGCTTCGAAGCTATCATGGGAAGAGTTCACCGGTTGTTTGCATAGAAACTTAAAGGTAAATTGACTCTTCTTAAATCTGTTTCAACATATTGTGTAGGAAAAGAAGTATGTTTTGGACGCTGATGGTAAATTAGATCTTCTGCAAGCTATATGTTATATGAAAAAGAACCTACCTGTTGATGAGAACGCCGATATGCACGGTCGTTTAAAACAATTAGCTGATAGCTTAGGGTATGACTCGATATTGTCTTTGTAAATAATCATTTTGTTTCAGTTGCTCATTTGAGTTCAATAAGGGTATTTATAAATTAAAAAGTGATGATATTTTTGTAGAGTTAAAAAGTGAAAATAATAAGGTAACGTGACAGATGATTCCCATATTATATTTTTATTTTTTGCAGTTAGAAACATGTAAAGTTGGATATTTTGGGCTTCGTCCTCAAGTATGTGTAGAAGGATGTACCTTTTTAAATGATGGAGACTATAATTCTTTCCGTGTCGCCGTCTTCTCAATGCTATCTCTTGTACCGAGCTTTGGCAATAATTTGTAAGTCATTTGAGATGGGAAATTGAACATTGGAGCTTTGTTTTCCAGAGAGCTTAAAAGGAATTGTTCAAAAGCTCTGGAGTCCTTGGAAGGTTTTCTTAAACTTAACTCAGGGGTTCCCTCCTTCGAAGCAGTTAACACTTTGCCTTACGGATGCTTCCGCGCCAGAAATGCTCTTCATGCCGGTCGGATTTACTATTGTGCAGAACCGAGCTATATGAAAGCAGCTGACAGAAGTAATTTCTACGAAGAAACTGGTATGTTCATTTTCACATTGATCAAACAACACTTCTTCAGAATTTTTCAATTTGCCTTACCTGGAATTGAGCATTGTTGCAAATGAAAAATCGACGCAAATGCCAACTGGGCCTGTCCAGTAGGTTTCCATCTTTAATTTCATCAAACAAAATAATCCAGTGATCCTTGGACTCATACCGTTTCGGCTCCCGCTTGCTTATGCTTGAAGTTTTCCGTGCCAATCATATTCAGCCATGGAACTTGGCAGAAGTTAGAGAAGTATTTAGCGAAACCTTCAATAGCTAAGCAGCATGTGAATATATACCGGCACACAAGTAGATTTGATTTCAAGGTAGGAGTTTCTCTGTCATGCCTTCAGTAATAATCTTTCCAGGATGAGAATCTGGTTTTGAAATCTTGTTTCCCAGAGCAAATAGTTCAACACCAGTATATTATAAGTTCCGAACTATTGAAAGAGGAATCGGATCTTGTTATCAGTGAGCTGTTCGTACAGGATTCTAAAAATCTGGATAAAGTAGGCAAATAACTCGTTTCAATTGATGAACTGATTTTCTAGGTAATAGCCCTCATAAGATCTCAGCAAATGCATAACAGTCTTTGGGAATCTTTCCTCTCTATGTGCATTGGGAAATGGCAAGGCGGAGAAATTGTGCGAATGAAAGTAATTCCAGCACCAACCAGAATCGAAGTTCAGTATATGGGGAATAATGGAATGATATTAGGTAATCTTTGATACAAATGCAATGTTCAACGGTTATCCATTTTCAGCCCGTTTCGAACAGAACAAGGAGTTCAAATGGTCCGCTAAAGTATTTGAAAACAATGATTTCCAATCGGCCGCACCTCAAGTTGATGATCGAGTTACAGAGATGCTTTTGAAGTAGAGAAATGCTTTAATTTTTTATATTGATGTTATTGTTCAGATCCCATTCGGTTCCATGCGCTATGACTCGGGTTGTATCTTCTTTTCCTTCTCGATCAACATACGATCCGGCTGTAGCCACGTTTGATGCGTCTGTTGTTATTGAGAAAATGGATAAAGTTGGAGATGCTTGGTTGCCTGTTAAGCGTATACCACCACCAAAACCTAAGTTTGTGTATGATGTAGAAGAAGATCCCAATCCGGGCGCGTTGTTGGCTTCTTTCAAAGAGATAGAAATAGTGGAACAAGAACCGGCTAAACCGGAGGCTATGTCACGAACAATGCGTCTACAGTCAGATACCTCTTACGCTAAAGCTAATGATGATATGGTGGGATATAATAGTTCTTGTGCTCTCGGTTACCGGCTAATCCAGCTGGGTCATTCGCCAATTATGCTTTCCATTAATTGCTAAAAACATTCACAAAAAAATAGTTAGGGAAAGAGTGGCAGCCCAGTTGGATCAGTTGGTTCCTCCAGGGTCACGGAAGCAGAAGAGACTGACTCGTGTTGCTTCAGGCAGCTATATTCCTAATTGCTGGTGGTGTGGAGGATGGAGACATGAAAGCTTCGACACCAGGTGTGACGAACCGACACGAGTCGAGTCCTGCTCCGCGGTCTGCTGGAGGAATCACTCAAATAAGTCCATTAGAAGCAGCTAGACAGAGAATGACGGTGGGTTGCTTATATATATATGTATAAATGTGGTGAAAAAAAAACAAAAGAAAAACAAGTTGATAAGAGCAACAAAAGAATAAACTCACATATTCTATGAAAAAACAAAAGAACAACGAGGTTTCTTACAAGATCGTTTGTAGCATAGTGTGGGAGCAGCCACTGCTGTGGGCTTGGCCAATATTCCTGCTAATGTCACGTCTGGTGATGTGTTTGAGTTTCCTGATGATCGGTCAATGGGTGTTCCTCAATTTCCATCGCCTTCCTCGCAGCATACTAATTTCTCATATCCTGCTATCACAAGTCCAATCACTTCTCACCCAGCTCGAGGAGGTTAGAAAACATGCCGTTTTTCGGTAAATACTGTTGACGTTCAGGATTGCAAGGAAATGCTAAGCCTCGAAGAGCAAGAGGCCGAAAGGTTGGAAACTTTGGCGACCGAACACCCTCTACAGACAGTATCATCAATATTGGAACGGGTAACGCCGATTTTCCTACACAGCCAACAAGAAGAGGACGAGGTTCATTTATAAATTTGGTAAATGTAACAGAGACTCCTTCAGGAAAAGCTCCCGGGGCTGGTCGTGGAACCCGAGGACGCGGAAGGAAAAATTCAGCTCTGCCTGCTGCTACGCCTCCTGAAATGGATCAGCGTCATATGTTGCAAAGATCCTACAGCGAGTACACTAGTGGAATGGTTAACCAGCAAAGTTTGTTTTGTTCCCGATATTGTTCCGTATTTTTTACCTTCAGTGTATCCTTATCAAAACCATATGGGTATGGATCCAATGATGATGCATATGGAAAACAAGCCCCACATGCCTTACATGGAAGAGGAATCCGATGATGAACACTGTGACCCTCCACCGCCGCCTAAAAATCTGCCGATGCACCCTTCTGCTCAATACATGCATACGCATAACCAGCAGCCAATGCATTCTCCGAACGCTCAAATGTTCCATCCCGGGCAATCTCCTTTAATGATGGTAGTAATATTTTGCGTTGATTCTCTCATTATTATTCTCTTCAGTCAAATTCTCCAGTTTTTCAAAATTCATCGATGGCAGGCTCACCTGGTCCGGCTGGTTATCCGGACTTCAAAGCTTCAAAGATGATGGGAAGACGAGATACCACCGATACTCCTCCAATCCCGAGTCCGTTGTCAATGAACTCCATGCCCCCACATTCCTTGTCTCATACACCGACAGGCTTGAATGCAACACCTCCAGCTCACATGCCTATTCCATCGCCTCTATCTAATAGTCACATGAATCACTCTCAAATGATGCATCCAGGCTCTGCACCGAATTCCGCAGGAATGCAATCCATGCCACCACAATCTTACATGCCCCCTTCTACTAATCCCCAACAGTATATGAGCAACAATCCTCATATGAATATGGGTCCAATGCCTTCGCATATACCCACTCCCACTTCGATGATGCCTCATCAGCCTCTCTCTCAAACTCCCCCCTCATCTCTTTCCATGTCTCATGTTCACAATCCCACTCCTCCAAGACTATCTAATGCTCATACCCCAGTCCAGGCATCCACGCCAACATCGGTACCAACTCCGGTCTCGGCTCAAAACTTGCCTCCTGCATCGGCACCTGTTTCCACCCCCACTACACCTACTCCTGTTTTGAATCCGACCCCTGTACCAATTCCAAACCCCATACAAACCCCACCAAAATCTAGAGTGCCGCTACCGAATACGCACAATCAAGTACCATTGCCCCCTTCTGTTCATGTTTCAACTTCCTTGTATCCTGCGCCCACATCTAACACCATAACGTCTCAAACACAAGCTTCCACTATACCCCCACCCCAAGTCAATCCTCCTGTCGTCCCACCTATCAGGTTAAAGAACAATACTAGGGCTCTAGTCAGGTAGATCTTAAACGTCCTTAACAACACTTATGATTATAATTCAGTGATTTGTACGATGATGGTGGTGATTCACCTCCGCCTCCCGAGGAAAGAATTCCTGCTGCTTTGTTGGGAAGCAACACCTCATCAAACTTGGTAGAGTCATCAAACGTTAAACTATGTTACTCAGATATTTCAGAACTCACAATCGTTCCCGCAACAAACAAAAGATAACGTTCAAGATAATAGTGTTGCTACTTCCCAAATTAAATCTGAGAGTAAATTGATCCTCAAGGTATAACGGGTTGTTATTCCTTATTCCATTCTGTTCTTTCCAGATTCCGAAGTCTCAGAGGAACTCTACTAACGCAGATTCTCAAAAAGCTTATGCTCGTGCACATAAGCCAGAGAAGAAGAGGAAGGAGAAAGAGAAGGAGAAAGATAAAGACAAGGATAAGGAAAAAGAGAAGGACAAGGATAAGGAAAAAGAGAAAGATAAAGAAAGGGAAAGAGAGAAAGAAAAAGAGAGAGAGAAGGAGAAGGAACGGTTACCACTTCCACCACCCAAAGACAAGGAGAAAGATAAAGATGAACCTCGAAGAAAACGTAAAGGAGAGCCAAAGACAGATAGAGAGAACATCAAACGACAGAAGGTACTTGGCTTAGATTTTCACTATAACTCTTTCGCTTTGCTGAAGGTCGCTCCGGTTCTGGCTTCACCAAAAGCTGTGGATAATATTCATCAGATGTTCCAGTTTAGCAAAATTAACAGCTTGAAAAACTTCAAAATTCCAAAGGTTTACTTCATCTGAATATAGTGTTCATATTTATATTAACTTTCAGAGGGAAGATAATAGAGCGAATACAAAAGCAGCGAAGGATGCTCCTACTGCAACATCTTCTTCGGCTCCTACTCCTGCCGTACCCCACAGTAACACTAACCCATCTTCTGCTGCTCCTGGTTTTAATGTGAAAGTTGAATTTTTCTGTAACGTTATTTTTAGTACATCCTCCACCCGCCAAATCTGTGCTTAAAAAGCCTCACCTTAATCCCCCAGTCATGAATAGGTTATCAATGGTTGGAACTTCTCCAACACAACGTAAGCCGTCCATGCCAATGATGGATCATAATCGAAGGTAATACCTATTGATTTACTTTTTACTCTACGTTTTTCAGACCTCCTCTGATTCCTGGACCTCCTTCCGCTATTCCATTACCAAAAGGGCCACCTCCTTCTCGTCCATTACCTGGCCAATGGGTACGACCACCTTCTAGCAGTATGGCAAACAGCGCGCCACCCCCCTCCTCCTCACAAACATCTTCGCAGTCATCATCGTTATATTCGAACTTGCCGCCTCCGCCCAGGTAAATATCTATTCTCATTTTGCTTAACCCCCAAGTTAGAGTTATTAATCATCACGTTGAAAGGTAAAATACGTTGAAAACGCAAATCCACTTCGATAGTTGTTAAGTAGTTAAGTTGAAGATGTCGTATGGTTTCGTCTTTTTGGCCGTTTTATCTTTGAGCTTCGCCTACTTTTCTATGCATGTTCTTGAATGTCCAGCTTGAAGCCTAATAAGAGGAGTGAAAGATGTTCATTAACGTTCGGAATTTCAGATCGCCGTCACCGGAACAACCAAAGATGCAAATTGAAGATCCGAACAGTCCAGAGGACTCTTTGAGGATAGCAGATGATTGAATTCTTCTATTGTGCCTGTGATAAAACTAACTTTCTTGTATCATACGCCGTGACCATTACGAGTTTTATTTGGTTTGCCGTCTAAATTGTAAAACTAATCCTAAGAATGGCTTATGCTTTTATCCTTCTCGATCTCAACCGGTTTTGCTAATGTACTTATCAACTTTATAAACATATTTATCAGAAATATGCAATTATTATATTAGGCACGTTGTACCTGTTGTACCCAGTGATTAATTTAAATATAAAATTTTATTTATTCCGTTAAGAGGTTCTAACGAATAGAAGTAAGACAAGCACTTCTGGCAATAACAATGGAAACATTCTAAAACGTGAAAGTTAACTGAAAGTCGAATGTGTGTACAATACGTATCACAGGAACACTTTCTGAGCAATTTTTGTTAAAGATAGTGTTTCTAAAAAGATTTCTGATACAGAAATAAGAATAAAATGCAAAATGGCAATAAGTTAATTAGAAGACTTTTGGTTCATAACGCGTAGTTTGACTAGATTGAAGATAGCACCTTGATATGACCATATGATGGAAGCAACGAATATTATACAAACTTCTAACAGCAAGAACGAGATGACAAGAGTTTTTCGACACGTTTTGTTTAAATATACTGAGGTTGTTCCTGGCCTGTCAGTAACCGGAACATTGAAGTGGGCATTGTTTTCATATGAATTTCCCCTACTGCTGTTGCCAGCATATTGACAATCCTGTCATGAGCTACGGCAACCACTGAGTGCCCGTTTATTTCAATTATTCTGTGACCTACACGGATTCCACCACGCTCTGCTATTCCGCCTAAAACAACAATGACTGCAGTCTTGGTTTTCAAGCTCACCTCGTAGCAACGAACAAATAACGCCATTTTGTACAGAAAACCCTAATTGATATTTTGTATCGGGTCTACGAATTCTCACTTCTACTACAGGAGGTGTTGATACAACAGTTAGTCGAACAGCAGTTGCAGATCTGAAATAGCCTTTGTTATCTGTAAAGGACAAAAAGCTCACTTTGCTTTCTTTATATTCTCCTGAGCTGCGGACAAAGGGAGTCCAACAAGAGAAATTCCATTAATATTGATAATTTGATCACCAATGTTCAGTTGATTAGAACGGGCAGCAGGGCCAGATGGATTCATATGAGCTAAGACAACAGTAGGGAGCATAGAACCCCAACCACTTTCCACCTAATTGTTTGAATTCGAAAATTGAAAGAACTTGTCTACAAACCACAACAACTCCTAGAGGTTCACCAGATTTTTTAGGGACAACTACATCTTTCTGAGTCTCCTTTCTAGCGAACATTTCCAGCTCATCACCCAACAATTCTTGAGAGTTTAGAACTTCCTAGAGAGAAGGAATAGAAAAATGAAAAAAAAACAGAAACAAACTTGGTAGTCAATATGTCTTAAATATGAAGGGTCATCGATTCCATTGGCACGGAGAAACTCTACATATGCCACCTGTAAAATAGTTTTGAAAAAAGATAAGAAACCAAGACATACTTGGAAAGCTTGGCCAATTGATTGAGCAATGAAAGAAGCCTCGTCAGATTCAAAAACGTGGCAGATGACCTTTGGAGACTTTTTAACTCCTTCAATTCTAAAAAATTCATTTCATATTATATGGATGAAGGAGTTAGTATGCATACTGGCAACACTGCTCATCACTGTCACTTGGAGACATACGACGAGCCATTAAAACAACAAGGTCACCGATATCAGCAATGTATGAGATAGTTCGCAGAGCATGATCCATTAAAATGTCCTGAACATGTTTCATTAGTTTTTCGGACTCAACGGAATGGCAGAAGAAACGAGACTATTTGAGACAACAGAGGAAAAGCAACACAACACTCAACCGACCTGTCGAACGTCCGTGTCAGAGATGCGCTGAAGAAGGGACATTGGACAATACGAAATAAGGTAACAAAGGTGATTTTTAAGCTTTCATTCAAAACATTTGAAAAAGTTCTGCTTACCTGAAGATCTGTGTTTAAAACCATGATTTTCTCAGTAGAAATGAAAAGATCAATTTCGGTACTAGGTTGAAGTTCGCCATCTGGGGCCTTCAAGTGTTCGTGTTAGAAAGATGAAAGTAGGAAGTGTCAAACCTTCACTCTTGCTACTGCTTCTTGAGCTTGTGCCATTCTGGCTACTTTACTTCCCCTACTCTCACAAACCATCTGTGTTGATCCTAAGTATCTTGCACGGAACAATACGCCTTCGATGAGAACAGCAGGTTCATGAACCATCGCTGAAACAAAACCGAAGTTAGAAATATAACTTGTTGGTAAACTAGCGCATGACAACTATAACCAAATGAAAGATAGCGCCACGGCAAGGATTTTGATAATTTAAAAGTTAATGATACGGAAGAAACACAAGATCACAATCACGTTGAATTAGTATATTAGACAAGCATGAAGAGAAGAAATATGCTAAAGAAAGCAATTAGGGCATCAAAGCGGAAAAACTAAGTCATCAGTTCATTCGTTTCAACTAAACTTTGAGGCTCACTTACCTAGCGGAGATTCAATCCGATGATTTTTTGGAGAATCGCTAGGCGAATCTTCATCGACAACTAGGGTTAATTAATATGGTATATTAAGAGTTTTGAATTCAAGTGCTTTCAATGTTAGTTTGAAAAGGATTGAATGCTAAATCTAAAAACAACTCACTTTCTTTGCTAACTTTCTTCCGGATTTCAGGATGAGAGACATCACCGGAGTTTATAAGCCTATCTGTCTCTTGTTCTTCTTCCCCGTCATTGTTTTCCTGAAGATTAGAGGAAACTTCTTCTCCCCAAGTATCGTCCTTAAAGGTTAATAATAACTTCTTGATAAGATTATGAACGAACGGCTGCAGCCTGCTCCTCTCTTTGTATTCTTTTCTGATATGAATCTCGCAAAACCCAAATGGCATCTTCACCGTTTTCCTTATTATCTTCTGGCCAGGATGCTGTAGATGATGTGGAAGGCTTCAAAATAGAAACTTATTTTCCATCCAAATGTTTGCCGCTTACCATGCTTGTTTTTCTATGGACAGGATGCGAAGGAGCTGGTGGTGGTGCGAGACCAGAAGCAAACATATTAGGGTTCTGCGCACATTCCTTATCAGTTCTTTCGGTAACTTCATTTGATTGAGCAATCTGAGCGTTGGGTATATGTGGGATAGGTTCTTGTGTAAAAGCGGAAATAAGTTGCTAAACATTAATAATCTAGTAAGCAGCGGAAAGTTTCATGAAAATGTAGTACCTCTGGTGTGAAAGAAGCTGTATCGCCTGCACATTGGGAGGCAAAAGGATTTGATGGGGAAGTAACGAATGGATTGACGAACTGTTGAGATGGGAACCCAGGGTGGCCGTATGGTGGCAAAACGGTTGGCAAGTTCATTTGAGGCATCCCGGGGTAGGCTTGTGGGGTTTGGGAAGACTGAAGCTTAGGAGTGAAAACAAGAACTATGAAATAACAAACCATTGACGAGGGTTGCGTTGAAATTGTTTGTGAGTTGATGACGGAACCAGAATCTGATTCAGGTAAGTTGAAAGAGGAACGAAGTTGGTTTAAAGTTTCCTTCGGCGGCGAAACTTTCTGGGCGACAGGAGCTGTGTAAGACAAAGCACTCTGAAGTTGAATATGAGTTTCAATTAAAAAAATTTAAAAGCAAATCACAACACTATCAATGTAAAACCACACAAGTCATGTTATAGAGAGCATGACACATCGCCACAATAACAAAGGTAATGACAATAAAGGCAGGGAGAACTATTGAGTTCTTGACAAAAGGTCAGAAAAATTTCTACGGTACAAACAACAATTCATGCACACTCCACATTTCTCGGCTCCCACCTGATCCGCATTAATTGCGTGAGGAAAGTTAGTAGTAAAGTTGGAAGGTTCGTCAAGTGTCGGAATGGCAGAAGAAATAGCAGGGATTGTTACTACGGATGAGCCAATCAGTTCCGCCATTTCGCGGTCATCAATCTAAAAGGACATCCCCCAGTTAAAACTAGCCCAGAATATTTAATTGAAAGCTTCAAAACTCTCTCTCTCAGTGGTTGTAATAATTAAGGAAGAAACTTATATGAAGCTGATGGCATGCATAAGTTCAAAAGAGAACGAGCAATAGAGAAGGTCATAATGTGAAGATTAGATTGTAGAACTTTAGATTGAGAAAAACAAAGATAAACTTACTTTTTTTATATTTTTGTTTTGTGATCTTCTAGCTACTTCTTTTTCAATTTCACTCATTTGTTTTTTAATGAGATTGGCAGTTCTTTCATCTTCTGAAGCACTTTTTCTGTCTTCGCCAAAGTTGTCTGATGAAAAATTATTCATTTCGTTAGAACTGTCATCCTGGAACAGACAATAATTAGGATTTTTTTGAAATGTAATGTGATACCTTCTCAATGGATTCAGATATTTTTTCCTTTGTTTTCTCGTTATCTGACTCTGAATGAGATGAAGATTCTTTTTCATGATCAACATCTAAATAATTAAATGCTCATATGCATAGGAATAAAGTAAAATCTCAAAACATTAGTCATTCAGAACATAGTTTTTCTCGGAGAAATCCAGAAATTATTTGAAATTAAAAATCCTCTCACGACCTCTATCATCTACTTAAACTACTTTAGTCATTCCCCAGCGGGCATGTTTTCGCGTCAAGTATTGAACAAATCCCCCTCGAGCTGCTCTTGCATGAATTAATCACATGTGAGAACCTCGCTCATCTCTTGTTCGTCCGTTGTTATCGATTTCGAATGTACTCCATATATTGGCCAAGTAAACCCCAACAAACAACAGTCTCTGGGCAAGCAATATAAATGAAGACTAATTAAGCAACGCGAAATGCGGAAACATTGAGCTAGAGGCTGCACACACGCAATTTTCTTTTTGATAGCTTGTCTGCCAGCACCAGAACTCTTCACTCGCCATTCTTTCGACTCCATTTGCCACTTCAGGCGTCTACTAGAAATAAGCATGAAAGTGAGAAGAGACAAGCAAATGACAAGAATTGATCATGCTTGCAGTTAATAGCGTTCACTCAAATGACATATCTACTCTTTCCCTTCGACATCGAGCTCATCATGAATAACCGAGCAATATATTGCCATATATTCATTTCATGTTGGAATGCTAAAGCTAAAGCTTTACTGCTTCATATAAACTGATTCTGAGACATAAGAGTTCTTCTGCCTCATTTCGACAAATATAAAACTTTCTCACTCACATGGAATTTTCAAAAAGACAAGTCTTCAAGAGGCATTAAGAAGAGAAAATCCTTCTAGTTAGTGAGAGAAAAAAAACAAAGACATATAAAGAAAAACAGGAAAAGAAACTTTCTAACCTTGAAAACTCTGAGAAAGTTGGTCAACATTCTTTGGATAATCAGTGTCATTGACATCATGATTAGGCTCCGGAACGATTGGTGCCACTGTGGCAGTGGGAATCTTACGGATATCATCATTAATAATCTAACCCAAAGAAAAGACTAACCTCATAATGACCATTTTCGGGTATATGTACATTTCTCATTGAGTTGACAACTTCATTGACACTATCCGCCTGCGAAGCCTAAAAAAAGAAAATGCACAACCGCTCAACCAAAAATTACAATAAGAATGAAACGATTATAGCAAAAAAGCAATGTTCAAGAAAACTAACCTGACTAGAAGGACGGTTCTGTTGAGGTGCCATGAATGGCATAGGAAAAGCCATGGTCTGACCAAACTGCGAAGATGCAGCCATCATTTGTTGAAAATATTGCTGCATCATTTCTTGATACTGGGCAGGAGAAAATACCATTCCAGGAATAGCACCTTGGGCAACTTGCCCATCCGTTTGTTGAGGAAGGAATGGGGAGATAAACGGATTAAAAAAAGGTGGTGGCATAGTCATTTCTAAAATGAAGAAAATCAATTATGAGAGCAATTAATATAACTAGAATCAGGGGAATAACAGCATGAATTGAAAAAGCAAAACTTACGAAAAGGTGCAGGCTGACTCTCATTAGTAATGGATGTTGGAACACTTTGAGAAGCCCCAGAAGAGCAGGATTGTACATCGGGAGATTCTGCCCCCAACGACATGGCTTATACACTCACCTGAAAAACTATAAGATTTTATCGTCATCTGCCACAAACGATGATTGACACGCAAAAAATTAAACGGTTCAAGAATTAAGAAAATAGATAACGAATGATGTTCCAGCCACCAGGGCCGCAATCAATGTCAAACTTCAGTTGTGAATAACTTGACGAGGTATCAAAAAATACGGTAACAGAGCTATGCTTCCAGTGCCTGGTGCATCATAGCTTTAAACTTCGTGTTTTAATCAGGAATATGAGGTAATTTAAACGTTTTCAATAAACTCTAATCGATGTTAAGGAAGGTCTCCAGTGTATGAATACGTTCTAGGCGTCTGACTCTGACTAGTAAGCCGCGTCGCGTCCGCCCGCAATACTCCGTAAATCTACACGCCTTAGTTGGAACAGTGTCCTTCTGAAGCTATGAGGATGAGATCCGATATCCGTTTCCAGTTCCAATCACATCAGATTTAATTAAGAGAGATCGATATATGTAAGAAAAGGACACGAGACATAAGAAGCGGCTGAGCAGTCTCAAAAAACGAGAAAAGAGGCTATGAAGAAAATAATAATCTAAATAGATGATAACACAAGGTTAATGTAATAATATATGATAACGTGTTCGTTAACATAAAGTGATAAGATTTATTAGAAAACCGAGAGTAGCAGCAGGAAGTGATTGCCATCATTGCTTGAAACACAGAAGCGGGGAATACGTTGATGATGAAACTTTCAATCCTAAAATTCAAACTCAATCTTCTATAAGCTATTTTCAATGAGATTGAAATCTCTCTCACTCAACATGAATCTCTTCTTCTCAAATGGTAAATAGTTACGAAGCAACAAAATTGCGAGGAAAAGAATGCTCATCAAGAGCATTCATAGTCTTTGTTTGTGTTTTTTCGATGTCTATTTTTCCTTGAAAGCAATTAATAACTATATCTGCATATATATGCATATATGGATATTTATAACTAAGAATGCGTCATTACAAACATGTCCGTTTGTTTATGATTTAACATCCAGTGATATTTTGCATATCTGGATTGAAGCGCGCTCCATTTGACCAAGGCTACAGTACGCAATCGCATCAACGCCTTCATGGATGCGGAAGCTTTTACCTGACGCTTCATCTGAAACTTCAATAAATAATTTAGATTTTTTTGAAAATTCTCACTAATTATAGTTTAGGATTGCTGATGTCGGAAGATGTGCAGCCAGAATACGTCGCTCATGCTATGCTTGCAATGGCAGAGACTCTCAGAAGTCAGAATCCTCCAAAATATAAAATGGCCATAAAATGTGCAAGAGTAAGACTTTATCGTGAAAAAATAATTATTCTACATATTCAGGGAGCTGCTACGTTTGATATAAACCCAGAAAAAAAAGCTTTCGTTTTAACACAGTTAGGGAAATTGCTACTGTATTACTCTGATAATCACGATGAGGCCAAAGTTACATTAGAAAGAGCGGTGAGTTCTTTCTTTTTTATATAAATTTTACTTGCGATTATAGTATCAAATGTATTTAACATTCGGGGATGATATGCTCAATGCTCGAATAGAAACAATTCTTTTGTTATGTGAAGCCTATATAGGAGGTATTATTGTTTTCACTGACTGCCGTCATTGATGATTGTTTAAGGGCCTGCTATTAGTGATTCTTATCACAAAGCTTTATTAATTCTCCGAACAGAAATGCCAAAATGCCATTCGAACAAGCGTGTTTTCACCAAAATGCTGTTTTATTACATTGTTAGTGTCTCATGCCTCAATACAGAGTTTTGATTATCGTTTCAGGAAGCTTCTTCTTTATACGGCTCCTTTTCTGAGTCACTCAGTGCTTGCCAATTAGCGATAGATAAGGCTATTTCTTGGAACGATAAAGTTTTAGAGATCTATTTTTCTTTATCCCGTCAACTGGCAAGTTTTTTCGTGAAGCTTCTCTTATTAATTATTGTTTTTTGAAGGTTTTTCTAAAAGGACCTGAAGGTAAAATGGAAGAGCATGCTCTAGTCGAAATAAATAACAAAGTGTCAACTATGGATTCGGATAAACTCGTTCTGTTAAATTTGAAATCGTTCAGTTTAGCTTTACGATTGGCTTCTGCTATTTCAGAAGGCCGGGTTAGTCTTTTTTTTTTAATTTAAAATAAAACATTAAAACTTTTTAGACCCGATCGGTTAGAGACTTACTGAAAAATTTACAAGCAGCTTGTCAAGCGATGCCATCTGACGTAGAGTTGCAAGGAATACGGTAAATTAAGTTATAGGGTCGAAACTTAATTTTTGGCTATTTAGCTGGATGGATAAAGTAACCATAACTGCTTTTGCTTGCTTAATAACGATCGTTTGCTCAACATTACAAAGTAATTATTCTCGAGCTGAAAAGTACTATATGATGGGGATGAGGCAGGTCCAAGAGTTTCTCACTAAGGTTGGCTTCTTTATGCTGATTCTCAAGTATCAAAGCTTTTCAGTCTTTCCGCTTAGCACGCGAGTATGGTATGTTAAAGTCAGTGTTCCGAATAAGATTATCCATAAGTGATATGAGTGCCCAATGTAATATGATGGCTTGTAAAGCAACTAGGTGTTTAGATAATGTGAGTTGAAGCTCTAAGTACTGTATTTAGCAATATATTTTCAGATAAGAGATATGATTAACTTTTCTACAAGGGTAGGATCAGAGTTCTATGTAGAATACTGCCCAGCAGTTCAATCTCTTCTGGTATTTATTATGCATATTGTTCATTTTGACATGATTTTCATTCGTTAGGGCTGGCTCGCAACTTATCAAGGTGATCTGGAACAAGCTGAGAGACATTTCAAGTCTGCTCTAAAAGTGAGTGTACACTACTTCAAATCGTAGAAACATCTTTTCTTTTCAGATGAAACCGCGAGATAGAGATGGTTTTACTATGATTTATGTTAGTCTTGCTCTCAATTATATTCTGCGACAGGATTTCGTGTCATATTACAATGCTATGGAATAGTAAGTGATTGCGGGTTTCGTATTCATTCCTTTATGTAATTAAGCTTAACTCCTTCACGCTTAAGTCAATGCTCAATGATTGTTAATGCAAATGCGAAACTGGTTATGGGATGTTACGCTTATGTTACTAATAAGGTCAATGATTGCAAGTAAGAGAAACTAATACAGATGCTCTCTTAATGTCAATTTGCAGAACTCTGTTAACTGAAAGTTTAGATTTTGCAAAGCAAGAAGATCTTTTCCGAATTCACACGTTGGCTGTTGTACTACTCTCACTACCTTTTAACATTTCTGTTGACGTAATACTCCCATGCTCTATGAGGAACTCAAATTTATGTTTTCAGGTTATTTTTTCTACTCTCGAATGGAGTAAAAGAGGTCATGATCATGCTCTTTTATATTGGTGCGATACTCTTATAGGGCGTATGTTTTCCAATTCATTTTTAATTCTCAGAATTTTTTTCTCCAGAATTATTAGAGAAAAGTGGCAAACAGCGGAACGTCACAGAAGTCACACAGATTGATCGGAAGTTGTGCATAGTAAACGTAAAATCGTTCTCAGATATCACCAAGTCTCACGCAGCATCTGGGTTACTGAAGGTAGCACAGCTTATCGTATATCAATTTGTTATTTTGTTTTCTTTGCAGTGGTTCGAAGGGGACGCTATGCAATTTTTGCCAAAAGAAGAATAGAATCTCAAAAATAACGGGTCTACATGTACAAAACGAAGAGACTAAACTGGCATGCATGTCTTTTTACTTTTAATTTATGATCTTTCCTTACGTATAACTAACGAGTATTATCGAACGGTTACTAGAAATTTTTTTTTACAATTAATATGCCACGTCTTATCCCTGTATCATTCGATGTTAATATACGGCTTTTTCGGAAAAATTTCGAATAAATTTAACAAACGAACAATCTTTGTTTCGTAAATGCAACAACATACTGATGTCAATGTAAATTACGTTTAAACGGTGCTCCAGAACTTATGAAAATATGGGTGAAAGCAGGATTGATGACGTCACCAATTCCGAGATCTTGAATGTCACTTGCATCCAATAAGTTGATGGATGAAGCTGTTTCAAGTGGGACGTTACCAACCGGATAAAGGACCACAATATGACAAAAGGTCATTAACGGTACAGCCGACATCGCAACAAATGGTTTGCAGTTGTCGAATAGAAGGAGCTACCAGAGCACGTCTCACTGAAAACAAAAATTATTGAAAAGCTCATCACGGTAAGCTTATTGTACGAGAGCTTAATCTAATTGAAGTTCTTTCGAAGACAAAGTGTTTTCAGAATTAATTAGGTTAAAATTCCGAAAAAAAATTCTTTGCTGCCCACGAGTATCTTTCTTCTCCGAAAAAAGAAAACTCGAGAACCAAAGTTTGTATGAGGAAAGATTTTTCAATTAGTCATAGGATATAGATCGTTAACTGAGAATAGAATGAATGTTCAAGAAACTCACTAGGTATAGGAATGTTATCTATACTTCTTTTCCGTCTCATAGTACATGCCATAGACCATGCCATTGTGAAGCTACTTCCACCAGGGGGACACATACGTAGACGTCCATCTGAAAGAAAAAAATGTTAAAAAAGCTATTAGTTAGCCGTTTTATGATTTGTCTCATGATGACAATTTGCATAATTTATTATATTTTTACGATATTGTCTAGTGTAATAGGAGTCAAGCCAATCCATTCTCAATAGCTGAGACGAGAGCATTCATTGGAAATTCGAGCAAAGGCAAATTGTCTTTGATTTAGTTGCCTAATTAGTTATACAACTTCAATTTATGGTCAAACAAATGCGAAATCTTACGTTCACAAACTAAAAATTTCATTTTCCGGATGTTTGTAAAAGAAAAATTTCTTTTTTTGTTAACGAAATCACATGACATCCTGATTATACGTCTTGTTACGTATTCTGTGCGCAAATCATTTCGTTTTTTGGTGCATTTTTGTGAGCAAATTCATCAAAATTCCAAACCTTACGAGGAAATAGTACGTTGAACTTGAATAACAAACGATTGACAATAGATGAATTCGTTTTTTTTGAAAATAAATAAATGACAAATCGAATGAGCAAAATGGAACCAATTCATTACCTTGCTGATTCGGATAATTAACCAAATTGTCTTTTTAAAAAAAAAATGAAGAGAAAGAAGAAGAAAATAACAAAAAAAAAGACAACAAAGGATCGATGAGCATCATTTGCATGGAGAAGCATAACGTCAAGTTTGCTAATGAATAACCCAACGAACGAAACAATACGAAGGAATGCGTTGCTAGGACCCTCGGAAAGTTTCCGCCAGTTCCGCAGTTTTTGTAGAAGAAACTGGCCGAATTATCCGAATTAACTTTCATTTCCTTATGTTCTCGCTCTTATAATATATGTAAGAAACTATTCATTTTTTCGTTTTTCAGACGAAAACAAAAAAATCTTTTCCTCTCTAAACGGTTCTTATGCTCTTAATAGTGAATTTTATATGAGAAAACCTATTTTCCCAGATTATCCAAGAATTTCTTTAAATTTCAATTTCATTGCATAGTTTATCAAGATTTTTACGGCTAAAAATCGAGACTCCAATTAAAATGTGTCTTTTTTGAGCTAAAAAGAGCGTTCGCGAGCCATAAATCAAGGGTGCTACTCCTGATTTGCAATCTTGATATCTATAAACTTATAAACGTTTCTTAGGATAGTTTTAAATTAGATATTTCGAACATTCTCTCGTACCAGCCACACAAATCAGACAACATCTGAAGAGGATGTTGGCATGTGATAAACGATAATATCTAAATAGCTGTCAAACAGAATGAGCTATTTCGATTGAAAATGACAATAATGATTAAAGATCATTTCAATTTTTAAAATTTATTACGAAATAAAATGAATGAATGAAGAAATTGATATACAGGAAGTTAAAATATAATGAATTATTAGAAAGCCATGAATGCAACCGCTCACCCACATGCGCACTTTTGTATTAAAAAAAAAATTCGGAAAAGCCGTGGAAAAGCCACGTGAACTTTTTTTTTAGCTCCAAAATGATGCAGAAGTAGTTAGGAATTCAAAAAACGATGATATGCTAGGGCTCATTACGAAGATCGTTTACGCATTTTATAAGCTTTCTCTATGGCACTGTTTTGTTCCAAACTTTATTCATAAATTTTAATAAAGTCACACTTGTGTTGTCATAGCTTTTCATAAACTTTTATTCCATCCCCTTCTTTTTTAGTCACTAAAAAAACGGAGGATGACAGCTAAAACCATATAGTCATTTATAAAAACCCTTTGCTCAGTATAAGAAGCATCAAGACTACGTAATTTGAGGAACTAAAAGCTGAATGATCAACTCTCATTTGCACGTGGCTTTACAGTCATTAAGAAGTAATTAGTTTCGAATGATGTTAGAGGCTTAAAGCTTTAAAAAGATAAATCTGTGATGCCCTAAGTTTCACTCCGATCATTCTAATCTCACAATCCATCTATGATGTTGAGGGGGAGACTGTGTGAAAGCTGTGACAAACATGCCGAGTGATCATAGAGAATTGAACTTTGAGAAAAAAGTATTTCATTAACATTGTTTAGATAAGACAAATTCATAATAGGAAGCTATTTATCATAATGAATTGAAACAACTTCGTGTGACATTCGCAATGGAGCACACCATTCGATGAAAAATATTTTGATTGTCAATGAGAGAGAAAGAGAGAGAGAGAGAGGTAGAGAGGGAGAGAGAGATAGAGAAAGAGAGAGAGAGAGAGAGTGAGGAGCTGAGAGAAAGAGAGAGAGAGAGAGAGAGAGATTAAACGTATTTTTTGAAAAAAAAAAAAAAGAAAATAAATTTTTTTGGAATATCTAATAGAACATACCAGCCGTTGTGGGAACAGTAAAACCGTAGATTAGAATTGAAATCACGATGAGGCCGAAATGCATTTTCGGCATCCAAATGAGCTAGACCTAACAACTCAGACAGAAACAACTCCGCCTTTTTTACTCATGTCATTTATGTATGGCCACGCCCACTTTTTTTAAGATCTCTCTCATACTCTAGCCCTCCTCCTCCCTCCTCTTATGACTGAAATGATTTTATAATTTCTTTTCCGTCTTCAAAAGAGCAATGATTTAATAGTCAGGCACTTTATATATGTATATACATATAAAAAAGAAAAATAAAAGAGAATTGAATAATCAGAACAATGGCAGAGTGGAAGAGAAAAGAAATTTTTTCTTCTCCTTCTTCTTCTTTTCCTGTATTTTCAATTTCTCAACAACATTTTTAATTTGGTACGTGAATTGTTCTTAAACGGGAAAAAGGAATGAGGGAAATCCTGAATTGACCACTTGCATGTAGTTAATGGCTTTCTTTGGTATAGATTTTGGGTTTGCAAGTTTTAAGATGCAATTAAATAAAAAAATTCTTTTTTCTGCTTTCTTGACTGCAAAATAAGACAAGAATTGTCAAATTCTCTTCTTCTTCTTCTTCTTCTTCTTCTTCTTCTTCTTCCTCTGATGAAGATGACGATGATGATGATGATGATGAGGATGATGATGATGGTAGTGATGAGGAAATTTTCTTATTAATTTGTTATAGACAATGGGTGTTTTTAGTACAGGATTACGTTATGTTTTCAAAGATTTTTCATGTTGGACATCGACACATGGTGTTCCACACATTGGCATGGCTAATGCCATCTGGTTAAGGTAGTTGATAAGCAGTTTATCATAATAATAATTATTTTTCTGTCACCATCATTAAGAACATTTTGGATTTTAGTTGTTTTATGTTGTGTCGGTGGATTCATCTGGCAGTTACAAGCATTATTACACAAGTATTTTGCCTATTTGGTCAACACTGAAACAAAGGTTTATCTCTCACATGATTATAAATGTTATAGAACGAGCAGTAAAGCATGCAGATTAGAAAGCAATTATATTCCCTTTTTTGCAATAAGAAATTCTCTGTTTAGCTACAATTCTCTGAACGAGTGTTTCCCACGGTTACCATATGTCATCTGAATCCATGGAAGCTTGATGAAGCTCGCAATATGGACGCCATGAGAGATCTAGTAATGATTTTTGTTTATTTTGATCTTTTCTTAATGCACAAATTAATTTCGTAGATAGACAAGTATGAAGACAAAACAGCTGATGCAGACTATGGCTTTGAGACTGGCTTAAAAGGAGAGCGTCAGCGAACAGCAACCAAATGGACATCTATCTTTGGCGAACGTTTATTCGAACTTGATCCCTCTCCCGTATGATTGCACCACATTTATATATATTATTATTAAAATTGAAATATATAGGGTTATGCATATGAGGATTTGATTGTGAGTTGCACATATGATGCCAAAACGTGTAATTATTCGTATGTTTTCATCTTTTCTTTTAAATATAATCATTAGGCATTCAGAACGTTCGAGCCTATACGTGACTCCACTTACGGCATTTGTCATAAATTCAATTTTAATGGCTTCTATGTATCATCAAGAGCTGGTTTTTACATCTAAAATTAGAATATGTAGTATGCTATCTGTTTACAGGGCCCTTATATGGGTTACGTCTAGTCCTTAAAGTTGATCAAAGTCAGTATTTGCCTTGGACAGAAGCTTCAGGTGTCGTCATAAACATTCATGCACAGGTTTGGAGTGGAGGCGGCATACAAAATGTATCTATTGATTGATTATTCAAACAGGATGAAGTGCCGTATCCGGATGTTTTGGGCTATTTTGCTCCACCAGGAACAGCTTCATCAATGGGAGTTCGATTTTTGACAACAACCCGTTGTCCTCATCCATATGGAACATGCACAACCCAATCTCATTTACAATCTGATCATTTTGATGGAAATTATGCAGTAAAATGCTAAAAAATATGTAAATTGAGAGTTCAAAAAAAATTTGATTTAGGTTGAAGCTTGTTTCCGATCATGTTTACAAGCAAAAATAGTGGCAGAATGCGGATGTTATGATCCATCCTATCCTCATGCTGATGGCATTTCAAGCTGCTCTGTTGATGATACAACGTTAATGGCTGCTAATAGTATAAATTTATTATATTATATATTAATTATAATATAAATCATTTAAAGTGGATTGTATTGAAGGAGTTACTGGTACAACGTCATCCTTTAATGTCATCCGCGACTGTTCATGTCCTCAGCCATGCGAGTATGTGCACATTTATTATGTTTCACTCCTAATATGTTTCTAATGCATTTTATATTAGTAATACTTTAAGAACAAAATAAATAACAAAAGAATTTTAGAGTTGAAACTTACAGCGTCACCGTCTCAACAGCTAAATGGCCATCCAATGCTTATACAGTTAGTTTTTTTTCTATTAAACCTTAAGCTTACATGATTCGTTATACTGAAAATGCTTATTGCAACTAGAAAAAGCCTCCTCTAATCACTATTGTCCATTTAAGCCAAATGAGTGTAATGAGAAAAACAATACGAAATGGTTGACAAAGAAGCAATGCGTTGAATGGTATAGGGAGAATACTTTGCTAGTTGAAATTTACTATGAACGAATGAACTATCAAGTGCTATCCGAATCACCAGCCTACTCGGTATGTCATTTTGCATCTTAATATGCAAGCTCATATGTATATATCTTTAGCTTGTCAACTTAGTATCAGATATTGGTGGTCAAGTTGGATTATTCTTAGGAATGTCTATTATCTCACTGATTGAATTTGCTTTTCTCATCATCCTTGTTTGTACTTATTGTGCAACTCATAAAAAGCGTCGCGTACAAATGGAAGATCTGGATAACGCTCGTCAGAAAGCTAAAGTCAATCTTCTTTTTTTCATTCAATTATCTGTAATTGTTTTAAATTTTCAGAATGAAGCAGATGAAGTTGCAAATAAAAGAGAACAAGAGCAAAGTAAAAGAGAAAAACAGCGGGATGTTTCAAGCCTTTACGACAACGATGGTTTCGATCCAGCTCCTCCAAAGATCACGAACGCTGATTGAAACGAATTCATCTTTCTCTTCAACCTTCCTCATTGTTTATTAATGACAATTTCATATTATTGTCTTCGTTTTGGTCAAGGAAAACAACAAAAAAAAACTAATTGCGTCTTTACCAGAATTCTGTTAACATCAGCCACATTACACCGTCATCGTTATTGTCTGAGAGTCTTCTCTCAACTTGTCCGCCCTCGCATTATTCGAACACATTTTGAAGCAGATCGATGGAAATGAAATGAATGGCAGAATAAAAAGAAAAAAAAGATTTTTTTAAAATAAAATATGTTAATTATGATTAAATATTCAATTGAGTTTCTTTATTATATCTTTTAATGATGAAAAATTGTGAATGATGGGGGGAATACATTGCTAGAGTAGATACATGCCATCAGATGACTTCTAACATAGGTTAACTGAGAAATAAAGAATCTGCAGTTGATCAAAGCTTCATCTACAGTTTATAGTTGACAACAGTCGGTAATACGGAATAACAAATTAGTAGAGAGAGCTCATTACGTTAGAGAGTTTAAAGATAATCCGAACAACTGATCAGATATTAGAGATCATAGGTGATTGAAGAGAGAACAGACAAACAAATTGTTTAGAATAATAAAGAAGAAGCAGCAGAAGAAAAAGATATATCGAAGAACAAAATATATGTGAAGAGATTCAAAGAAATCACTTGCTTCAGGGCATTTTTACACTGATCCAACACCCTCAGTCGGATTTCTGCCAACTGGCATAAAGCAAGCAAGTAGACATGAGCTTCTTACCTTTGTATCCAACAACTCTTCAATATTTAATTAAAAAACATTGTAATCAATATTATAAATGAACAAATGTATTTACTATTCATACTGTTCATCCTCTATCACACACACTTGCTTTCAATACTTCTGATTCATTTTTCGTTTTGTTTTAATACGATTTCTCACATTCATTCTATCATTCTATTGATTATTTGTATTTTATATTTACCTTTCCTTATAGAAAAACTTGGCTGCCTTCTCTCTTTCTCTCTCTTTCAACATTTTTTCTTGATTTTCTTCTATTTTAGAGTTCATATTTCAAACGGAAATATGGCACGGTCCATCATACCATGCTCCAGCCTTAAAGTATGTCTTTCATTATTTTAAATATAATGAATTTACCATTAGATGGCTGGAATTGTGGTTGCTGTTGTAGAAGTTTTACTATGCTTATTAGCCGTGTACGGTTTATTCAGAAATTTACATCTTTTCGGTTCATCATACCTTTTCTGGTTTATCGTTGGTAAGCAATTAAGGATCTGAAACGGTTTTGGATCATATTGTCGTTGCAGGAATCTTTTCTGTTATTGTAATTTTCTTAGCTATTGCTCTTATGTTGTATGCTATTAGTAGAGAAAAACCAAGATGGCTTATTCCACACTTGAGTGCTCAGGTTAGTTTTTCATATATTTAAAAATCATGATAGCTAAAAGAAATTCACAATGAACCCTTCCTTTATTAACTTATTTGAACAAACGGGAGAGGAATGCAACTGTTCTGGGCTACTAGGGCAGGAATGCAACCACTCTGTCCGGGATGCCACGGAATGCAACTGCTCTGTCCGAGCTGAAAGCGTAGCAACCGTCACTGGCATCTGCAAGAATGAAACTACGGAAATATCTCTTAACGTGGAAAAATCACGTGGGAAGTTGTACAAACATCCCACGTGGAAATCTCACGTGAAGTTTGTGGGCACAATTACCACGTAGAACACGTGAAATAAAATTGAGATAATGTCAAATATCGATTATATCATAGACAAACGACGAAAAAGGGAAAAAAACATTTTTAAAAATTGTGTTCCAGATCTTTTTGATTCTCTTCCTCATCATAGTTGCCATTGTTGTGTTCATTCTCCTCTTAGTTGGAGCTTATAGAGGCATTCGTAATCTTCTTGGAGTATCGAACTACTACATGACCGATGAAAGTGAGCTTACAAGAAATATTAATTTTGAATCAACATACTTAAGGCACACATTTGATGGGAATAATGATAATCATCATTTACTTGTTGATCGCTTTGTTGGAAGTATTTTTCTTATATATTGTATGGAAGTTGTACAAGTGAGTTTTTGAGAAACGTGCTCTAAAGCTAAAAACTACTTTATTCAGGCACTTACGAGATTATGAATCAATGAAGAGAGATAAAGATATGGATTGGCATGCAATAGGAGCACTCCCTAAGGTTTTATCTTGAACTTTGAATATGATTGATAAACAAATAATATTAAAGGATAATAAACATGGATCACCAACAATGGGAGATATTTATCCATATGGAGATGAGAGTAACCAACCTCTTCATCACTGAAAAGTTTAAAATGCAAAACAAAAAAATCATAGAAAGCTGTATTTATACTCTTCCTTTATTGTATTTTCATTGAATAAATCTTTTTTTTCCTCTCGGTAATCAATTAAGCATTGAAGATTGAAATGTTTATGAAGAATACCTTGCAGTTGTTTAAAATCAGATAAACAGTTTGCATTCAACGCAACTTCACGTAAATATGTAATTAATTGTTATTTGTAACATTTAGTTCCCCATCTATGATTATGTGGTGCTATAACGCAAACTTTGGCCTCCCTTTCTATTCAGCTGATTGTCGTCTTTTCGTCGATGTCGACATCGCCGTTGCCGCGCTCCGTCGTCGTCGTCGTTCATATTCTACAGAATAGAATAAGAAATCAATAAAAAGCTATGAAGAAATTGGATACTCAAGGAGAAATGGAAAGACTCAGACACACAGAGATAAAGAGAGAATGAATAGTGGAAAGGGTGAAGCAGAATAATCGTTGTCGTGAACGTACAGCCTCTCACGACATGAAGTAAGAAAAAAAATTCGGCGGATTGATGAAACAAAGTACATCTCATAGATGATGTCAACCCAAAAAATTAGCATAAAATTGAACGAATCAATAACTTTCCATAGATACAAACACACTACTTGTACTACGCCACTCACAAAGCTATCCAATTTCAGTATATTGGCTCACCGTCTACACTTTCTAAGCTTCTCACCTTCAACATCGTCGTGGTAAAAAGAAATTCTTGCTCTCTCTTAACAGCGAATCTGAACGTTTCAATACTTCAATCATTGTCTGAACTCGTATATTAAGATAAATCATCCACTTTATGGAAATTTCCATTCAAATGGGCGTTGCTTGAATATCTAAGGGGCGGAGTCATTTAGCCTACTCGCCCTCAGGATACGGTAGGGCCAGCTGACTGGCTCTGCCCATTGTATACAATTAGCCGTTCCGACTACGAAATTGACGACAGGATAGACGATAAAATGCAACACGGATCAGCTTCAGGATCTTCAGGAGGTCTGTCAACGGTAGCTCAACAGGTCAGCTTATTTTTCAGTTTTATTCAACGTTTCGTCATCACTTTTTCTCAACTTCTCAATTTTCTTCTGTTTCCAACGCCATGCTCTCTGATTTTCTCGTGAATCTATCTGCGTCTGAATTTTGTGTTGAAAAGTTTAAAACTTATTCTCTTTAAAGTTCTGGTGGGTTGTCTAGTGTTAGCTTCATTTCGAAAACTCGAAAAAGCTGTTGCGGACGTGTCTTGTTGATTTTTCATTTATTTTTTAATATTCCTAATGAATATATCTTATTTCTAACTAACATCAAAAATATAACTTATATGAAGATTGGCTGAAGGCCCGGACAGCTGGCTAAGAATAAGAAAACAAACAAGGAAGAAGCTTTTGATCGATGAAGCCATGCATCTGTGTCTGCAAGTGTTTACGGTAGCCTGATATCTCTGACCTACTGTTAAATATGCTTTCATTGGATGAAACACGCATGTTGTGTGCTGTCAAATGTGAAGAATTTTCAATTTCAATCATTTTTTGTTGAAATTCAAATGGTCAAACGAAGCCAAAGGCGGAAAAGCCAAGAGCCGAAGCTCGAATAAAGCTCGAGAAAAAGAGGAAGAAGTACTTAGAGAGAGTATAGTCATACAGAGAACGAAAGGATTGTGTTACCAAGCGGTTGGTAACTCTTCCCTCTCTTTCTCGTTTTCTTTTTTTTTTATTTCGGCCATTTCGTTTTTCATAATTTTACTTTTTAATTAAAATTTAACAAAAAAAAGACTTATTCTCCCCATTCTCAAATATCAGCCTACCTTTTGTCCCAAAACGTTGTTCAAGTTTAAGAAGGATAAGAAAGATGAAAATGCTTTTGAAAATCCGACTATCTTCTCCCGACTACCTACAACCTTTTGGCTCATCTCTAGAAAAAGGTTCGTTTATTATTTTGTAATTGAATCCTTCTTCTAACCACTTTCTAAACTTCCGACTAAGCTTAAAAGAAATGCCAACAGACGTTTTTACACATTTGGACTTCTGAAAGAGCGCAAACGTTGTTAAAGGCAAGGTGTGATTTGTAATAATTCTGATCATCGTCTTAGAGACGGAGCATATTCATTTTCTTCTTTTTTTCTTCATCCTTGCACTTGATAATCATTCGTCTTCAAGAGGTTTGATGATGCTTATACGAACATCTGCCTTCATCTTCGTTATCGAAATGATGATTTCGTATCTGAAATCTGAGATGCGAATTAGAATATTTAGGGAGCATTAACTAAGTGAAACGATTAAAGCATGCTTCTGAAGTGTGAGACACCTGCTTACAATACACTTGATGCGTTTTCATCCTGACCTTATTGTTCTAATCACTCTATATTCATTTCCATATCTCATATATCATTCCATAATGAAAAGTGTTGTCTATGTCTTTCCTTATTCGCTCATTCTTAATGCTCACTAGCTTCTATCCTTAATTCACACCGTTGACGATGAGCTAAGTAAAGAAAAAGTTTCGCGTGAGTTTTTCTTTTGTGTCACTGGAAAAGCTCTTTTGTATATTTAAAGTAAATTGACTTGCCTCGCTCTCCTTATTCTTCTTCTCACTCTCTACCTTTCGATATTTCTTCTTTCCCTCTCATACCCAAAAACATTTACATTGCTAGTTCTTTTTGCCTTCTATCATTTAGGCTATCGCTCCAGCTGTGACCAATAGTCTTGTCTGCTCTCTATCGTCTGTGTGCCTTAGACCCCTTAAGAGCTCTTTCTTTCTTACCTTCTGTCCTCAAAGATCCCTCTCACCTGTCCCCTCGCGAGCGAATATCGCGCGCGACATGGAGATCCATTGCCAAGCCTTTCACAGTCCATAACAGTATCGGCGGCAGTACCGCTCACTTTCGGCAGTCTCGTGAAAAACTTGGTCGCTCTCCAACTTGTTCTATCACAACCCTCATTCAAACGCTTCAATGGTTCTTCATCCGGTAAATTTCCCCTCCCATATCATTCCGCTTTTCATTTAAAGTTTTCATTATTCATTTCCTTTCTTACAAACATATCCTTTTCTAATTTTTTTCATTTTCAGGACGACACTAAAGTCAATTCTCAGTTTGCTCAAGCTGAACCAGCAACGTAAGTCCATTCCTTCTTCATATCATTCTTCTTCTCCTTCTGCTTCTTCTTCTTCAACGTATTCTTCTTCTTCTTTTTTTTTCTTTCTTTATTTATGTGAACATGATTAGAAAAAATTCTAAGACTCCTCCTTCTATCTGTTTTTCTTCATCTGATCTAAGCTGCAACTTTTTTCTTCTCCGTTTACTTTTGTTTTGGTTAACATACAGGTTTCTAATGTAAATTATCGTTCTTTGTGTGAACGGTAGCACAAAATGACCCAATAAGTCGAGGCTATGAGCATCTAAGAGCTCTTCATACCTTCAATTGGATCACTAGTCTAACAATCCAAATATTATTGCAATAAAAAAAGCGTCAATCGACTGTTTAAGTGCTACCTATGATATGGCTAAGATCTTTTAATTCTTTCGGCAACCAACAGCATCTCATCTATTTCTAATTATTATAAACCATTAAGCAATGAAAATTGTGTTTTAACTTCGACTAAAGCACAAGCTGTTGTCATGCTTTTACGAAGTCATTCGATCCGCTGTGGCACGGACGTTGCTGCCGAGAGCTTTTCCCTCAATCTGAACCAATCTGATGCATTTCCAAATGACTAAAAGGGGACCAAAACAAAAATTGTCAGATATTCGAAACGGAGAAGAAGAGACAAAATCATTGACCTGACGAATAAGAAGTTGCATCTGAAAGGTGTTAAAGCTTATGAGCAGAGAAGGCAAAAAGCTCATTTGGAGGTGATATTTCCCCTTATTAGATGCTTGTTTTTCCTTTTGTCAGTTCTCTTCTTTACACTCGATCCTTTCTTCTTCTTCTATCAATCTGTTCTGTGTATTCTCTTCCCTGTATATATGTTCATATATGTCCATATACGTGTAAGCATATGTGTTATGTTTGTCTAAGACCTTCTGTCACTTGACAGCCCTCAAACAACTTCAGTATGTCATCTTAAAGTTACAAGCTCAACTACATTAATATAATTAATTCAACCTTTTTTTTTCTTATTTCTAGTAACTTCATTCTATCATTCAACTGCTTATACCTTCATAAACGTGTAGCCTTACCGTAGACCCAATTTCATGCAATAATCTGTTGTCTCCTGCTGTGCCTTAGCATCTGATAGATTTGCCATCGGCGTCTCTACACGTGTGGATGATCAAAATCAAAAGTCATTTGAGCAATTAGACACCAGCAGGAGATAATCCATTAATAGTTGAGAAAAGGAAAAAAACAAACTTTTTTTATAAAGCTATTAGCCTATTTGGTTCGTCTTCTTCTAAAATAAGACTGCTCCTTTCACTTTCACTTTAACATATTTGGATACAGAAAATATAGATTGCGTCAATTCGTTATTCTTCACTTCTCAAATTTCATCAATAGTTAGGTTGTCTCAAGTCAATTCTCAACACATGCTCTCTACATTAGTCTTATGTATAGATTTGTTCATTTTTTGAAACATATTGTCTAATTAACGCACACATGGTTTGTATTGTTATAATTACACTTATAGAGCTGATCAATCTGCATTGGCATCTTCCGTTTGGTCATTACTTCCTGATTCCAAAGTTGACAATATGACAACTGAACGTACAGCTGGATTAGTTTCTATTACTGATACTTCAGCCTATGGTAAACTTTTATACTGAGGACCTATTTGATACATATACTGCTTTTAGGCCAAAATCCGTATTATAATGGAAGTTATACGACAGGATATGGAATGTATAGTAGCAATCCTGCGGCATACTATCAGGTAAAACCATTTATCTCGCTCTTCTTCTTCAAAATCATTTTAATATAGGTAGCAACTGGATTAAGAGCTCAAAATGCTGCTGCAGCTGCTGTAACATTCCCATATGGCATTGGAGCTGCCCAAACAGCTTACTACGGTAAGCAAAAAACAATTTTCTGATTTTTAAAAAAAACACCTCTTTAGGAAGCTCCTATCCTACGACTTTCAACTTTAATGATTATTCTACGTACAACTCTCAATATTGCAATCGAATGCAAACAGCCAGCTACTACGGTAATGCTCTAACAGCTGGAGCCTATGCGGTAGGTGTCTTTTGATGTCACATTCGATTATTTGAAGAGAAAGAGGAAAAAACTTATTTATTTACTATTTCTTTTATTTTAGGGAAATAACATTTCATCTGATTCAAACTCAACATCAGATATTAGTAGTTTTACGATAAAAGACAAGAAAGGTATATCAGTCGCTTGATTACATACATTATGCTGTGCAGTTTCAGTTTCCACCAAAACTTCGAAAAAAAAGAAGTCTGGCTCATGCTCTCCAGGTGATACTCAATATACACGTGTCTTTATATGGGATCTGGATGATATATGTCCATTGTCATCCAATACTTTAACAACTATTGGCCATCGAGTAATACAACATTCTCTAATTATCAAAATCAATTTCATATTATGTTATAGGCTACATCCCATCCACATCTAGGACGACAAGTTATGCTTTTGAAGCAATTAACAAATCGTGTAATTGGCTTGTGTTTTCCAACGGATCATGTAGAGGTCAGTTTTCTCTTGTTTCTTCTATCTTAACACAAAAATATTTTGAAGTAACGTTTGTTTTCAAAAACGCGCTCTAATTCATCTAATTAGCATAGATAGTTGATATCACGCACACCCGCGCAAGATATTTCATTTTGATCTTTTCATTCTTGCATGAACGGCTGTGTGCATTCTATTCATGGTTTATTTCATAATTAATTATGGATTTGCAGGAATTCGAATTATGTAACGTAGAAGATGCTGCCTTAGAAGATTCCCTATCTGATGGAGCTGTTCTGGATGGACGGTATATAAAACTAATTTGAATTAATCTCATGCATGCTGTATACAGAAGTGGCGTTGAAGTAATGCGCAGACTGGCAAGTAAATACTTTGCATTACGACAACTGTACCAAGAGTTTGCACCTTTGAAACCAGATGATGCATGCAATACAGGTATTCTATATTTTTCAAACGTAATTTTTATGATTACACTTCAGCATTGATTGATCGTGCTGGACTGAGTGGTCAGAAAGATGAACTCATAGATGCTGCCAGGCAAATTGATGCGCTTTATATGCAAAGATCTGAGTTAGCAAGAAGATGCTTGGATATCGTTCAACAGAGGTAAATTGATTATTCATTCATGACATCATATGCTGCTGTTCAGGTCTGAAGCTTCTGACACGAAATACGCAAATGTTGTCATCTGTTCCGATGGCCTTATTACGGGTATTAGCGAATTAATGCTCTCATCGATGACCACATCTGTTGGCATTGATAACGTATATAGTTTCGGAAAAACAGGAAAAGTATTACACAATCTTGCTCATCTCTTGTCTTACCATAATTGTTGTTTATAGGAGTCTGTTCTTGAAAGAATTCAAAACCGTTTCGGAAAGAAGTGTAGCTTCGTTTTAATAACGTCGAACCCTGAAACTACAATGACAGCAAAAAAGGTATTTTAACATATGAAGTAGCTTTAACCATATTTTTTTCAGGTCAGTATCCCCGTTTGGCCTATGCTATCTACAGCAGATTTAGAGAAGTTTTACTCAGCTCAAACACATTTTTTATTAACTACCACACGTCAACGCTCTTAAGTATCTCTAATAGAACATAATAATTCTACATCATAGAGAATCCTCCACAATACAAATCAAATTCCACAAACAATTCTCAGTGGACTCGCCTTCCTTCTTCAGATACTACTCTAAAAGAGTAAACAAATTTTTTATTTCAACCACATATCTTACGGAACCCTCTTTCCCACATTTTACTGTTGGGAACTGACACTACCATTTTTCCTTTCGAATATAACGTTTCCGATGTTGAGTAGTATGGAAAAATAAAATGAAAAACTTGAAAGCTTTAAGACTTTTCAATATTTCAGCTCGCAAAATCTGAATTGAACCTGTAGAACACATGTTATCATCATTAGATTTGTTGTAAGTTCTGTTAAGGCTTCAATTCAGATTTTAGCAAGCAACGAAACAAATTCATCGAAATGATTATTTTCCTTTTCAAGTCACTCATGACTTCTATATTTTTATTTCTAAATTGATTGGTTTTGTATTGTTTCATTAAGTTAAGGAATCACATATTAATTGATCTCATCATTTTCTCAACTTAACACTAGCGCGTATTCAGAAATGTGTTGAATTGAAACCTCACATCTTCCGCGGTTCCCCGTGATTTCTAAGTCAGTTCAAGAATATTTTCTTACTTTTAACGATTTTAATTATTGAAATGTAACTTTGCTGTGAATATTCCGTTTGCCATTCTGTGTTTATGCATGCTATTCGCTCAATAAAATTATTTTTTAAAATCTTATTTATATAGTTAATAATAACCACATTCGGGTACGTTGCCTTTGTGATCACAGACGGTTAATCTTGGATTCCAAGCAGTTCCTGGTGCGCAAGGTCTCTCCATCCATGCTCCTATGATTACATGATGTATAGAAATATACAATAAAATCTTACCATGAACACATTGATAATATTTACTACAATCATGGCTCACCCTTCTATAGCCTTCTGGACCTCCAGATTCCTAGAATAAGTTGTGAAATGATACCAACGAAAAAAACTTACAACACAGCTTTGGTTGGATGTGTCATCGTGTTTATTACATTTTCCGCGAACACAATAACCGTTTTCATAGATCATGCCATACTCGCAAGCTTCTACGACCCACATTCCTTTTCGGCATACCTTAATTGAGGTAACAGTTGGAAGAACAGAGAAAACAAGAAATGTATAGAGTTGCTCAATCGAGCAAACTACATATACTGTGCTACTGCGACCAACCAAGGAAGCAGTGCAAATCACATTTGAATTGGCGCGCTCTCTTGGTATGACAAGAATTACTTACTCGAGAAATTAGAATATAAAACCAAAATCTGTATAGCCCATAAAAGGTTGAAAGTATTTCAACTTACAATGTGTTCATTATTAATTCGTTTTCAACTCACCTCAAACGTGTCGCAGCTCTTAGTATTTCCTTGCAGAGCATTTCTAGTCTGACCTTCATAACATTTTGGTTGTGTTGGATTTGAAGGACCGGTCGATGGGTTTGTGCACCTGAGAATCTGAATGATTTCTTCAATTTTTTCAGACAGATATAGTTAGCTAACATCCCAAAAGAACTCCATTCCGGAAGGACAACTACGTTGCACCCATTTTCCATACTGACATGCCAGGTATTTCGTTTTGTCTTGCTCGACGGGTTTTATACTGCCCGTGTGACATTCTCTATCGGGAGCTGGTTGATAGTCATCTAGATTGCTTGTATTATATGTATGTTTGAGTTTGGGGATGAACCTGGGTTCGGACAAGATTCTGTTCGGGAACATTTTCCATTGATAAACTTCTTGTTTGAATCACATCTGCCGTTTATGTATTGTCCTTCGTGACAAACTCTGAACTCTCCACATTTTTCCATTGGCTGTGTGTGTGTTTCATTACTTTTAAAACTGGGTTTAACATACCTGGAAAGAACCAGCATTGCATTCTCTGTTAGCATTGCATGAATCGAATCTTAATAGCATTAGTATTACTGGCTAGAGTGCTTACAAACCCTCTAACACACAATCCCGTTGCGATATCAAAAGAGTTCATGGGTGGACATTGCTAGAATGGTGTTTTTGAATATTACAGAATCATTCAAACTCACTCTGCTCACGAAACGTTGATACTGATCACACTCCCAGTAGCGAGTGCAATCAAATTGATCAATCAAACGGAAGCTGCCTTGACAACTTTGTGCAACATATTTCTTAACACATTGATGTACTCTAACTTCATTTATCGAGAACCTCGTCTACTCCATATGTAGGAACATGTTCTGTTACTGTTGGAGGGATAGAAATTGGTTTTGGGTTGGGCTTTGCTGGGATCGTTGGCAATGATACTCCGGGGGAACTTGGTGGGATGGGAAAATATTGAACGTTACAGTCACCTCTCACGCAGCGGTTTGTCGGTGAATCTTAACAAATGAATTGATTCGACTTGAATTCGGTCCTTTTCTAACCATAAACAAATCCGGTGGGACATGACAGTTCAACCCATTGCTGGAACCTACATTCGAATAAGTTCTTACAATTTTTCGAATGTGGTTTACGCTGGAGTGAAATCGGTGTTCATTTATTCTGTAATAGGCTAACCTCTCCCTCTCTACATTTTGGTTTTGGATGAGAATGATGACCACACGAGCTGTACCGCTCTGGAACACATTCTTCTAAATATTCATCGAACAGACGTCCTCGTGGACAACTAAAGAAACAGTCTTGCTTATAATCTTTACGATGACATTACCTTCGCACGCGATAAAGGCCTCGGTGACAAACCATATAGTGATGGCATTGTTTTGGAATTCCCTTAAGCAATATTTCGAAACTATGAAACTATTCTACAACATACTCGGACAGTTCTTTCTTCGCAATACTGAGCTGAGGAAGAAAAGCTTGTTTCATAAGAATCAGAACTGTCATCCCATCTATTGAATCGAGTGTGTCTAACGTGTCTCCTCTTGCTATCTTTCGCTGTACAAGTTGTTTCACAGAATTCATCTGAGAAATACTGGACCTATGACTTCAAATGAATTTCCCCCACCAGAAGCTGAGAGTTCATCATCCATTTCATTACAGTCTCCTCCCATCCAGAATGATGATCGTTCTTTGCAAATCAGAACATCACAGTTGTTCACGAACATTGTATCGTTGCAAACAATTCTATGAGTTTCATCGTTTTGATCAAAGGTAATTCCCAGGGGTGAAGATTTCAGTCCGAATGTCTTAGACATATCTCGACATAGTTGACGGCAAACAGAATGTTTCTCTGAAACGTATGTGAATTGGCGCATTTGGATGAAGAAAACTTTTGGAGTTTCGGAATCTGTTTCTATATTCTCGCGTGAATTCTTCACTTGAAAAGTGAAAATCTTGAGAGTGATCATTATGTTCATGACGGGATGGACTGTAGTCAGAGATCATCTCAGGTTCAGCATCTAATAGAAGTGTTATCGAACCATATAAGGGGTTATGACACTTACAAGACGGCAAGTTTTCCGTTATTACAGTAAACTGTGGAGGCTCCTGGTATTCAACGTCGTAAGCGTTGATACCAAGAACAGCGAGGCACACTAGTCCTAGAATCATCTGGAACACTTTATGTCAGAAGAATATTTTATAATGGATTGTACATAGGAATTCGCCTATATATATGGTACGGGTTGATGATAAATAATTATGATTTTTACAAAAGTGACGTTACTTTCTGATTCAGACTTCTTCGTCCATATCGATGACGTATCAATTCTAAACATTTCTTGCACTTGTCGTGTGGGAGTTTCGTAGAAAAGAAAACAAAGGAAAAATAAAACTTTGTTGGAAAATCAAAACGAATATATACATATTAAATATCTCTTCTAGATAAAAACAATTATTGAGCATCCTCCCCCTGCTTTTTACTCATTTCAGCGAAGTGCTCGCGGTTTGTAACCGTGTCCATCAACATGATTTTTCCTATTACCTGAAAATCTGCGCAATGAGTAAATGTAGTCAGGCTGAGTCTACCTGATTGACTAGAAACTTGGGAAGAAAGCCTTTCAGATCGGCTTGCATGATCACATCACAGATAGTTTTAGTTGGATCTTCTGGGTGATGTCTGAACCTTGCTCCAGCTAATACCAACTCAGCTCTAGAAATGATTGAAGGTTTCAATTGTTCTTTGAACTCAACCTAACCTTACTTTACCATCAACTTCAGGGTATTGTGGGAGAACTACACTTCGTGAAGCCATCAGAAACCCATCACTGATTTGGCGATAAACACGTGCAGAAACAAAATCTCTTCCACTTACTATCAGTACATCATTATTTCCATACTGAAATATATGAATGTTGATTATGTAAAAAGCTAAAGCATATTTACAGTGATGACATCAAAATTCTCTGTTGGTTTCGCAATGGTTGAGGCAAAGTTGATGTTACCATTCCATTCTGGAAGCTTTTCGAAATTGTCCCAAGTTTCTCTCATTGCAGTTGAAGGAGTTGTGTCAAGAGTGGTCTAAAATCTTGAATTAACTTCATTACGACTGCTTTTCTAACCGTGATTGTAACAGTTTTTGGTTTTCTATGTCTGTGAGCATATACAACATCGCCTTCATCATTGCTTTCGTCCTGTAATTGGATATCATATAATGAACTTCAAAAGATAAGACCTTCTTCCAGTCTGCTCTATTCTCATAGTTTGGGCTGTTAAAAAGATTCTCGACTTCTTTGAAAGCCTCTCCTGCTATTCTCAAAGCATCTGCATACTAGAATCACAGAATTAGTTTCTGTAAACTCGATTCACTCACTTTCTCATCTTCAGCTTTCAAGACATCAGTCAAATCATGAAGGGTCAATGATGTCATAGATGATAGAACTATAATGAACAAACTTTATGAGAATCAAGCACGTCAACTTCGATAATATGAAGTGAATAAATAAGTTTTCGTTCATCAGCATGACTTGATCGACAAGCATGAACTTTGAAAATAGTTAGTAACGGAACTCATAAAAAGCAACGATCATTAGTAATCACAACGGTAAACGTCACACAGAATGAACACTACTTACCCTTATCATTGAAGAGAATGGACCACTGAATAAATAAATAAAGAATTTTCTGGGAGAATGTAGAAGGGAAACCCATTTGAATGAACAAAGTGTTCGAAGTAATCTAATCATTTAAGCAACAGCTGACCCTCTTGAGTTTTGAAAGACCAAAACAGCTGTGCAAGGTTTAATGATTCCAGTTTTTTTGTACTGAACATTTTTCAATAATATATCGGTCAGAATCTGTTATCAGATCGCTACCGATTGTGATCCAAGCTTCACTGAGATTGAAACTTTCGAGGAGAAATTGTACAGTTAAGGAGTTACGAGAACTGAAGAAAAAATGCTACTTTCATATGTATTAGGAGGTCTCTATAAAACTATTCACCTTCACTTTTGCCTCTTCTCCCATTTGTTATTTGCCTTGTAAATATACATACATACACGCACACAGAACAGGCTCGAAGAACTATCTTCGTGCTCGGGACAGCAGTTCGCTCTTTATGTTCGTCCTCTCTCATCCGTAGCTCGTCTTCTGCTCGTTTCCCAATTCTGGAGCACCACTCAATTATGTTTTGCACACGAGCTGCAGAAAATACTTTTTGATTTTGTGAATGATTTTTAAACAAAAAACTCATTTTTGAGCCATCACAGCAAACGCTGCGCCAGACTATTTTGCCTTTAAAAAGGTATTTTCATGCGCGATGATCCTTTGTTTTGAGTCTCACATTTGTAGCACACTGTCTCATAATCGTTTAACAATTTCTTCCTTTCTTTTTTGTCTTTACTCTACTTCTCTTGTCCAGAAACACCTTCACATAAAAATAAACTATAATTTTTATACTTATGCTTGGAACACATAAAATTGAGTTCCAATGGAACCCGAAAGAGCCACCGCAGAATGTGCCTTTCCGTTGTGTGAGAGCGAAAAGAGGATCGGAAAGAGAAAGAAGGGATAAGGTTTTAGGTTTATTTCAGATTTTCGAACGGAAACTAGCAGAATATCGTCGAATACTCTCTACGTGGTATGTGACACACGTGGGAGACGTAATTGTCATATTGGATCATTTACCTAACAGTTTATATGCTACTTGTTCCGTATACAGTAACTTCAATCATTAATCTGATCTACATAGTTTCTTCGAGAATATTCATTTCACGTTTTTGGCTCCTACAGTATAGTTTATAGTTCATTTTACAGAATGTCTCTGATACCACCAGAAAAATGCTTGAATGATTCAACTATTTATCATGTGAGCACTGCTAATCCTTTCAAGCTGGTAAGGTGTTCAAAAGTATCAATTCAAGATCATCAATGTTCAGGGAATATTAGTTCTTGAATCCATCCCTCACTTCATTATACGGTTCCGGAAATTACACCCGGATTATAGATTCCCTAGCTCTTTCATTAACGATCTCGCAGGTAAATGGTTATAGCAATTTTAAACAACACTTCTACCCCAGCAATACAGTTCACCAAAACAGAAATAGCGACTCTGATTTTACTCTCACTGCTCCTCACACTTATCAGATATTTAATACAAACGAAACTTCAGGTAAATTTGGTAACTTAAAAAGTTCATTTGATCAATAGTTATGCATGGTTCTCTGTAAAATTTTGGATATACAATTTAACCTCAGCCCTCTCTCATGAAGCAGTCTGCGACTGAGTCACACTTACCCAGTATTTTCGTGTCCCCATGTGTCGGCATACTCTTCGGGACCCTAAAGTGATAAAAATTCTGGAGATATGGGGAATTGAACCCCAGCCCTCTCCCATGCTAAGGGAGCGCTCTACCACTGAGCTATATCCCCACATTTTCTTAATAATTTTGTGTCCCCAAACTTGGGTATACCCTTCGGGACCCTCAAGTGATAAAACTTCTGGAGATATGGGGAATTGAACCCCAGCCCTCTCCCATGCTAAGGGAGCGCTCTACCACTGAGCTATATCCCCACATTTACCCGGGAATGATGTCTTTTCAAGTTTTCGGTCGCCCTTTGCGATCTAAAAATAGAGATTGTTGAAAAGAAGAAAATGAACTCGAACCAAAAAAGTGATGAAGATTCAATACTTTAGCGCTCCGCTCTCAGCAAAAGATTGCTTCCCAGATACAGTCATAAGTTTCCTGAGACAGTATGGAAGCTGGGGTTCTATGGATTTGCTTGGCTTATGTCTCTTTATGTTATGATGAGAACACCCAACTTGAACATTTTCCACGATCCTTTATCCATGTGGAAAGGTAGTTGGTTGCATCAAGGAAAAACTTGAGATATAATATTCAGATTGGGAGACTGGATTAACTCCACCAATTCCAAAGCCTATCTTAGCTATTTACACTGTTCAGGCCTCATTCTACCTTCATTCAGTTTATGCGACTCTCTTCATGGATCAATGGAGAAAGGTTAACTCTCATTAACATCCTGTTCAAAATCAAGTTCAGGACTCTTGGTTGATGTTCTTACACCATTTCATAGCTTTAGCTTTACTGGCTATTAGTTATGTGCAGCGGTTAGATTTTGAGACCTTTTGAACATCACCTTAATATAAACATCCTAGTTTCGTATTGCCGGGCGCCTTGTTGGTGTTCCTCCATGATAACTCTGATTCAACTCTCGAAATGGCGAAACTTGGGCATTTTATGAAAAATCGTAAAGATGGTTCTGAATCAAAGTTTTGGAATGTTTTTGGTTTTATATCATTCTGTATATTTTGTTTGTTGTGGTAAGTGAGAAAACTTGGATCAACAACGTATGAATATTAGGATTGTATTCCGTCTGTACTGGTACCCATGTAAATTGCTGTACGCAACTATTTACGGAGCTGTTTATCTCGGACCACAAGATGCCCCACTGTTTCCGGTTCTTGGAATAATGCTCGTGCTTATATTCGCAATGAATGTATACTGGTTCAATGTAAGTTAGAGGGAAAGAAATTCTCAAAACTGTTTCTTTCAGTTCATTGCTCGAATGATGATAAGAGTGGCAATAACCGGAGAAGAGCCAGAAGATAATCGTGAATGGGATTCACGAGCCGTGTCTGGTCTAGATGGGAAAGACTTGGATAAAATGGCGGCAGATCGTGAAGGAAAGGAGAAGGCTATTTAGCATCACAAGACATAATACTAGAAAAACATGATACTGTAATCATCAATAACAAAATTATCAAAATTCATGAACATTTTTGAAGTTCTTTATTCGCATAATGAATCGTCTCGAAGCGGAAACTGGCACATAATGAGTAATTTTTATTTTCATTTTGCGGAGCAGTAAGATCGGTTGTATTTCTACTTCATCTGTATTCGATTGAATCGAACGGAAATTCAAATAGTTTGAGTGTTTGTTATTCTTTTTTTATTTTCTATCGTAATCAACAACTTTATTTGTTTCATTTCTGTTTCATGACCTTTCACACCGATAACGCGCAGTAGTCTTATCGATAAGCGTGGAAAACATATCCATTCACAAGCTGTATTTTCTCCATTCAAACCTCCTTTTCTATTGTTGAGCTGTGAGTACAAATAGAAAACGCGATGATTCATTTTAATCTGTAATAGTGTTCGAATAGAAATAATTTATTGTCACAACAAGTTAGTTCATCAAAAATTGGATTGATTTTTTCAAAATTAATGTTTCCATCATCAATACAGCTTTCGTTGGAATGAAGAGTTTATGATGTTTATATAACTATATGTGTGTGTGAGAGGAGTATAAAATAAGTTTATAATTATTTAATCGATCTTTCTTCTTTCCGCAATCAAACACCCCTAACTGTGAAGATGAAGAAGAGATCTTGAGTTTATGTCTTTATAGGATTGCATCATTATTGTAAGCAGTTATTGCATCCATATTGTGAGAATTATTGTTTATAGGTCGCAATATACTATTACAGCTCTAGTTCTATTTCGAATTTAGATGCTTTTTTAGTTATTTCCAAAGATGTATCTTAAGATGCGTTGATGCGAGACTGTCCTAAACAAATATGTATGTACGCGGAAGCTGACCCAAAGTCATACTTGACTATTCATCAGCATTGATTCAATCTATATCTGAGTACAACATGCGTGATCTGTTGTAAACAACAATTTCTACTTCAAGTACTTTTTTTCTCGATGTAATCTCACTAACTGACCTTTTTAGATGATCACTGTCCATTCCTGTGTAGATGATTCATCGTCTAAGAAATCATTGTGTCCTTGTTTTCCAATTTAAGTATCGACTTTCTCATTTTCTAGTGTCCCATAGGTTCTTTAATAACCTGTCTGCTCTATTCACCATTGATTACTAACCTCTCCATATGCGACACCTTTCCCTGTATAACAAGTAATTATGCAAATTATTCTCATTATGACACTTATACATTCCCATATGATCGTTTTTTTTTATTTTCGTTAAAAACAGTGACATCCTCTGAGTCATTGGGATTTCTGTGTACATCATCTATCTTAAATATCCAACTTGTTGACATTGTGACCGGAAAAGGTCTTTGATCTATTTACCCAAGTACGGATAAATTGTCATCCCGATGATTAATTGAGCTTTTTAGCTGGGCCTATCCGACTTCCCCCTGTTCATAAGATGGTCAAATAGTTTTTCGTGCAATGTTTCTCTCAAATATTAAACCCAACATATTTACCACAAAAATTCATCAAACGTATTGATTGATGTACCATTAGACTTCATTTTATTGATCGAAGAAAGTTTTCTTCAATTCTATGGATATAACGTGATTAAGACATAAGTGGTAATGTTTTCGAGTGTCGCATTCTTTCTATCTAAGTTGACGTAATTACATTTAGTGACCTAAGAACATTGCAAGTTAATTTGATTTGTGTGTAGGAGTTTTCATGAGTCAGCTGCTTCTGTCTATCATTCTTTCTTATCACAAGATGTATTAGAATACATATAGTGGAAAAGTCATTTTTTGTTTTGCAATGAACTTTCTATTTGACTTGATAAAGAAGAAAAGCAGGGGGAAGACCTATTCTCTCGCTCCCTCTCTCTCTCTCTATCTCTCTCTCCCCTCTTTCTTCTCTTACTTTTCCGCTCATCTTCTCAACTCACTCGGTTTTCTATTCTGTCTAACCATTCCATGCAGCTAGAGGCCAAAGTGTTGTCCCCGATTTCAATAATAACCTTCACATACTCTCCCATTTCAAAAGTTCTACCCTATTTCAGTTTATTTCAAATGTAAATTTCTTCAGATTATCTTTTACTATGTAAGATAATTATATGATTACCTTGAAAGGGCTTGGCCATCTTTTCTCCTTTTTTGGATTTCCGCTCAAATGCGTTTGAAGGAATCATATCTGATATTCCGATAATAACAGTTCGTCAGAGGATTTCTGGCATTACTTTGACATCCAAGATATCTATCTAGATTCGCGATGATCTCGTAAGTTGTGTCCTTCCTCCTGCTATTAATTTTTTGGATGATAGTGTAAGAGACATGAGTTCTTTTTTTTATTTGCTTCTTTAGTATTTGAATGATTTTAAGTGAAGCATTTTTCAGTTCTTTACCTATTCAAGGTTGTTTATTTCAATTTGTCGTCGTTCGTTCATCCTCGCTCCCTCATAGTGCTTACGCCGAACACTTGCGTTTTTTTCTTTTTTTGCTGCTCTTATTCGTTTTGTTTCAACATTTTCTTGTGACCATTACGAATCGTTTAGGATGAGGACGATAAGGATTTTCGGGATATTGCTACTATTTCTTTGTAATTCTCATGCCATAGTTAGAAGAAAAGAAACTGAGAAAGATACAAGCACTGAGCCCACAGGTGACAATGTTTGCACTCAGTCTGTTGTGTGAGTTCATTCAACTTTGTGCTCAATGCATTGTTTTGTTTTCAGTGTAGATGAATACAAACTTATGAAAGTTGCTAAACCATTCAAATTCCATACTACTGAACCATGTTCAGATATTAGCCACTGGTTCAAGTGTCCTGTTGTCAAGTTAGTTTTCCTTTTCATCCAAATGCTATCTAATTATTTTGCGTTCAGAGACTCAGTTCGTTATGTCTACGAGAACAAACTCGAAAAAATCACAAAGTTCAAGAAAGTTTGTTGTGAGGGCTATTACCAAACAAAAGAAAATACTTGCAAACGTTCGTAGATTCTTCAATTTGTCAAGTATTCCCTTATTTTAGCTAATTGTGATCCTCCTTGTAAGAAAGGACGATGTATCAAACCTGACGTGTGTGAATGTGACACAGAATATGGTGGTCCAACTTGCGCTTCTAGTACGTGTTCAAAAGCTAATTGTTTTCTGAATGGTTTATTTTCCAGCTTGTGCCGTAGGCCAATGGGGACCTTCTTGTAAGAGGAAATGTGACTGCGAAAATGGTGCTTCGTGTGATCCTGAAACTGGAAAGTGTATTTGCCCCTCAGGTTTTATAACTCAATTTGTTTATCCACGCTCTCTTCTCCAATACAGGCTTCAAGGGATCGAGATGTGAAGATACATGCCCCGATAATATGTGGGGACACAACTGTACTGAGCCGTGTTTATGCCGTAATGGAGGAAAGTGCGATGAAAATGGGAAGTGTATATGTCCTGATGAATTTTCCGGACCTTTCTGTATGAGGAAATGCGAAAAAGTTTGTGAAAATCACGTTAATTGAAGAATAACAACTCTTAAAGGGAAAAGCGGGTGATGACTGTAAATTCGAATGTAATTGTCACAACGGTGCGACTTGTGATACCAATCAAGAAGTGTGTCATTGTGCTCCTGGTTTCCACGTAAGATAAGAAATAATGGATGTTTGATATAAATCTTATTCAAGGGGCCAACTTGTGAATCTACTTGCCCTAGTGGCTTCCATGGTTCCAATTGCACAGAAAAATGTTATTGCCTGAATAATAATGAATGTGATCCCGTTACTGGCAAATGCTTGTGTGTAGGATGGAAAGGGGAGAAATGTGATGTTGGCTGCTCTCGTGGAAGATATGGACCTATGGTATATTCATATTTTACTTTCGTTGCTAAATAGTTCCTTTTAGTGTTCTCTTACCTGTTCATCATGCTCTGGTATAGATGTAGATGATTCTAATGCTTCTTGTGACCCCGTTACTGGTGATTGTATGTGCGAACGTGGGTTTAAGGGTCCTGACTGCAGAGAAAGAGGTTGAAAGTAATTAGAAAACCCTTTATAGTTTAAACTTTTTAGCCTGTCCAGCTGACATGTATGGTCTAGATTGTAAAAAGCAATGTTCGTGCATTATGGAGAACACGGAATCGTAAGTTTACTTTCTCGTTTTCATAAATAACTGGATCTTGCGAGTCGGAATGTATGAATTTCAGCTGCTCACCTGTTACTGGCTCTTGCCGATGTAAGGCTGGATATGCTGGAGATTCTTGTGAGAATGTTTGCTCGAAACTATATTGGGGTATGTATTCCATGGTTAATTTGTATTCATACAATTAATTTTAGGCGCTGCTTGTACAAAAACTTGTAACTGCAATTTTGAAACAGCAACTGAATGTGATCCCGACACCGGTGTTTGTGTTTGTAAGCCAGGACTGAAAGGAAAAAAGTAGTGTAGCTTTTCTGTATTTTTAATCTAAATTCAATTTTCTTTTCAGTTGTACTGAAGAATGTCCAAACGGAAAATATGGTTTCGGTTGTGAATTCAATTGTCAATGCATTCATGGTACTTGCAATAAGAAAGATGGTTCATGCGAATGCGATAAAGGTAATCGTTGAGCTGAGTGGAATCCTCAAAATTGTTTCCAATCTAGGTTTCCATGGAGCTTTATGTTCAATTCCTTGCCCTGTTGGTCATTTCGGATCGTCTTGTGCCTCTTGCCAATGTAAAAATGGTGCTGGATGTGATCCAGTTGACGGAAAATGCCACTGTCTTTCCGGTATGTTAATCTTAATTCTTGAACCGGTTCTTACCGAAAAAAATTTTCAGGGTGGATGGGATCTAAATGTGATCAGCCCTGCCCTTCGGGTCGGTATGGCCCTGGTTGCAGTTTAATTTGTAGATGTAAGAACGGCGGCAAATGTAATTCTGTGAATGGTGAATGCGAATGTGAACAAGGATTTAATGGTATTTTTAATTGCACTCTATATAATAGCGTTTGAACTGCAGGACCTACCTGTTCAACCCAATGTCCAAATGGGAAATGGGGTGACAAATGCCAATCCGATTGTGATTGTGGAGAAGGCTCTTGCCAACAGAAGACTGGAAAATGTGTTTGCAACCCTGGAACAACAGGAGACAAGTGTAATAAGAGTAAGATGAGTATCTCTGGAGTGTTTCTATATTTTATCTTTAAGATTGTGAGCCCGGCTTTTATGGCTTCGGCTGCGAAGAAAAATGTTCCAACTGTACTGCGAACGCAAACGGAGATGCAACAGATTGTGATGCCTATGTTGGATATTGTAAAAGATGTCCTACTGGAAGGTAAGTGAAATCAGATAGAAGCCTGATACTTTTAAAATGATAAAGATCTGGAGAGTTCTGTGAAGAAGTTTGCCCTCCTGGTTATTGGGGACCTGGTTGTACTAACGAATGTAACTGTTCTGATGGTCATAAGTGAGTTCTGTCTGATGTTTCTGAAAGTTAAAGCGTTCATTAGATGCGATCCAACCACTGGAGAATGTAGCTGCGAGCCAGGTTTTACAGGTGCTTCATGCAACGAAGGTAGTGGTTTTAGATATTATTATTTTTACGTGTGATTAAGCTTGTACCAATAATACTTGGGGTATTGGATGTGCAAACCCTTGTCCGAAATGTTCCTCTGGTGCGGAATGTAATGCTGACGATGGCTCTTGTAGATGCCCTCCCGGACGAGAAGGACGTCTATGTGACAGAGGTAATTCAACTCATGTTATAACAGAATATTAATCTCTGTGAAGTATGCGCTTCATCTTTCTGGGGACTTGGTTGTGCGAGGGAATGCAAGTGTACATCTGATTATAAGCAGTGCGATCCCGTTACTGGAGAGTGTGCTTGCCCGGCTGGTTGGCAAGGTGATCGTTGTGATGTAAAATGCGAAAACGGTTTCTACGGTCCTGATTGCATCCAGAAGTGTCGTTGCAGGTTTGTCGTTTGTTTTGATCGCATATCCACTTGATCACGATTTTAGAGGAACATCCACTGCGAGTTGTCATAGGATTACTGGTGAATGTCATTGTCATCCCGGATTCACTGGAGAGTTTTGTCATGCTTGTTAGTGGTTTTGATTTTGATTTTCTGTAACAAACTTTTCAGTATGTCCTTTGGGTCACTTCGGTTTGAAATGCTCACGTGAGTGTGGAGATTGTGGAGAAGGGTATGAATGTGATGCAGCCATAGGGTGTTGCCATGCAGATCAACTCAGTTGCGGACAAGCTTGTTAGTTATAAGCACATTTCTTCTTTTTAAAAAATGTTTATACAGTGATCGAGTTCCAAAAGATGGAAGGGGGACAAAGCCGCTCCGGTCTGGTGATTCTAAGCGCCATCATCTTAGCTGTTCTGTCTGTTCTACTAATTTCTCTAGTGTTCTACTACAGAAGAAAATACCAAAAGGAAAAAGATCCTAATTTACCGACTGTGCAGTAAGAAGTTTTTCTTTTGCTTTCCGAATATTCTTTTTCACAGCTACTCACCCAATGATGAAACAGCTAATGAGTTCAACAATCCTCTATACATGACCAAACAATCTATCGCTGATGAACCCAGAGATGGTTTGCTCACAGAGGAAGAAGAAGAGTTAGAAAATAAGAAAATCCGTGGATATAACAGCCACGATAAATCAAGTATGTAACAAGCCTTATTTTGGAATCAGTTTGTTTTTATAGACGATTATGCTGCTTTAGACGATGTAGCTGGACCTTCAGGAGGACCTCCATCGTGTACGGTTCCGCTTTTAAACAATTCGGAAGCCGATGATAATGAGTCATCCAGTTGAGCCAAATGCATGCCTTGTTTACAGTCGATGTAATCTGCCCCGAATTCTCACCTGTCTTTCCGAAACCGTCTTAGTCTTCTTTGTTTCTGTGTCTGCCATATAACATGCGCCTCCTAACTAACACTACGCACAGCAAATTTATAACAGCTTCCTCATTTCTGGTAGACACATTCTCAAGAATATTTCTCCAACTTTTTTAACCTTTCGGCAATTTCGTTCTACTAAAAGTTTAGCTTCTGCGCATGCCTTCGCTTCTTTAGTTTTTTCGGGTTTGGTCCGACCAGCACTTGGCTCAACGAAATGATGAATCTGAGGCTTACGCTTCCAAAACAAGTAGGATCTGCGAATTCGTTTGATTTGCTGCTCAATTTTGATAATCAAGAAGCTGTTTAGCTTTAAAAATTGCTTAAGCTCGTCAGAAAATGAGAAAAGTTTGTATGATAGTGCTCGTAGCTCATCAGCACCGATACACTCATGCATTGTCTCCTCTTGTTATTCTCCCTCAAGATTTCCATATTTGTCAAAGTCCACTAGTTGGATATTGATTAAGTTATACATTAACCCTCCGATCTATTTCAGACAGTTATGAAACACCTCAGTATAAAAAGAATGCCAAGAAAAGCGGGAAATCTGATGGGGAGCCTCTTGATCGTAGCAGCAGAGTGCAAGAGAATCTCTATACTGAAGGTCCATTGTAAATAATTTTTGAGTTCGGCCTTTTCTTGTCCAAGATCTAGTCGTTTTCTATAGCCAAATGTTTAATTTATTGACTTTACTAATTCCCTCTGTTTTTTTTTTAGGAATGTTTCGTTCTTTACCGGTTTTTATCTCATTTTTTTCATTATTAACAGTATTATTTAGCTTATCATTAGATAACTTACTTACTCATGTTTGTAAATTTCCAAAAACTAACTCATTCTGGGCCATTTTGTCACTTTTGACATGCTTGTGATCCCCACGTGTATATCAGACATAATTATAAATTATAAACATTTTTTCATTCTTCAAATTTTATGAAATATCGAATATAACAGTGTGAATCAGTTCAAAAATGTACAATACCCGAACTATTGATTGATTGACTTGAAACAGCATGGCAAGTTTGGAAAAACTTATTTCGTGCAAACCTATACATAAATATACTCTATGCGAATTTGTGTTCTTGATGGAATGTGATCATACGATTAGAAATGTAACAATACTAGTTATCATACAGGACACTGATTCGGCATCGGACTAGAGTACGAAGCACCATTATTGTCTATTCTGAAAAAAAAGTTGTTCAATTAGCATATCCTGAACGCAAAGGTGCCATACGCACACAAATGCATTCATTTTTTCTCGAAAGCAGTGTGAATCGGTTGTGTTTTTGGATGGGGATATATGATACCAACCTGATGTCGCCGTTATCGCTATTTTGGGTTTCTTGTCGATCCCTATTGAGTTTAAAAACTTTATTGTCGTAGCTACGATTGGGTTGAGGAGGTTCCGGAACTATTGTAACCGTAAAACCTCTTCGATCAAGGAGACTAAATGAACAAAAGGTATTGAAAAGATAGTAGAGCCATTTTACCTGGGCAATTCCGGTTTGCATAAAGTAACAAAACAATTATGAAAGAGTGTAGGCTGATTATAAGGATTAATAACGTTAGGACGTCGTTTAGTATTGTAAGTATCTTTAATCTGAAAGTGAGAAATCAGTATTAAAAGTGCATTCGGACGACTCACCTCTTCATTCGTTGTTTGGTTTGTAGCTATGAGATATGTATGAAAGCCGGATAAACATAATGTGGACCTGAGATAACAAGAATAAAATAAACTGTTAGCTTTCAAAACCATACCAGATTGCAAAGAAACATATGAAAGAGACAACCATAGAAACAGGTGATTTCTTCACAGCATCCCAGAATTGTCGTTCTTCTCTTGATACTAAAGTACACCATATTCAGAATAGAAATAAAACTATAAAAACAAACATAAAATGAGATGAGTTATTGAACATCCAAATATGAAAAGTATTAAAACTGTAAGTGAAGTTGTGAAAAAGTAAAAATATCGATAGTTACGAGCTCCGACACAATTGCCTACCCACGGACCTGGAAGAAAACGAAAGATTACAAAAGCACCTGATCCCAAGCTCACAATGGTGATCAAAATTCAGAACGCAGTTATCGCAAATTGAGCAATGAGTACTACGAGGTGGTCGAAAAAATTGGCAAGTATGGCAATACTTTAATCTAACACTTTGGCCATTGACGGTTACCTTCAGAGAAATGTATATCTAGAATGTCAATTCAGAGACACTGACCTGTTTACTACTGTGAAGGGTTCTAGGTGCAACAGATGTTTCCTGGTTGAAGTTGGGATCAGTCAAAGCCTCTTAAATATGACATTAATCCGTTATATGTTATCGAAAGGTACCGTCTCGTGCATATTGCCCTATTCTTAAGGCTTCCGTGTGTGACGCACGTGGAAGGATTCCAGGATCAGAGAAGGATGTTTTCAATAAATTTATCAACACAATCATAAACAGAGCAGCTCCAATGAAAGGAAGCACTGGAGAGACGGAGTCGAATAAAAAAGGACATCTGCAAGGAAGATTTAAGCAATGGAATGTGTCAATGAGCTTACTCAAATACAAAAAATAGTGCCATAGTAGCTGATATTAAAAAAAGTGTCACAGGTAAAACTGAAATACTCCTAGAGATCATAACCTGAAAGCAGAACTCATGAATAGAACAAGAAGAAGAGAACATACGCGTCCATCACAGAAAAATCGGTTGTTGCCCGCATGTAGTCTCCATTTTCTTGTGAGCTTTCGGTTCTTGGGAGAAGCAGCCTGGGCAGCAGCAGCGGTTTGCCTAGCGATATATCGGTCCACTAGATCAGTTGTGGATGTAGCCACTGTTGACATGGCTTCTACAGTTCAATATTATTAGAAAAAAATAGCTCCGACGAAAAACATGCAAATGAAATGTCAATGGAATGTTTTGAATAGGAACGTTCATGCACTACAATATTACAAACGATGGAGAAAAGGGTGATTCAGATGGAATTCTGTCACTCTTCTACATTTTTTTTTCATCAGAAGACGACGTACTGAACAAATACTTTGAGAGTCTAGTTGCTTTAGAATTACAAAATGATAACAACAGTTAGCTCATCTTTCACTCATTTATCCTCTTTTTTTCATCAAATTAATGATCAAAACTATCTGTGATCAAACGATTTCAAGCTCAGCTCAAATTCTAAATGACTACAGCTATATTACAATCATTAAGAAACGTAAAGAAAAGCTAGACATGAGAGTTTAAGAAAAACATCAATAAATCCCGTTCGGAAGGGCAAAAATTTCCCCTGAGAGGAAAGAAAGATGAATAAGCCCAGGAAGTTTATCCTCCCGAGTATCTTCAGAGAAAAAGATGTCGAAAGATGTGTATTTTTGAATAAAATATCATTTATGATTTGTAATGAAACGATAAAGAGCACAACGAACATGAAAAGGGATTCGAAAATTTTGGAGCAAATAGTACTCAAGCTTCGCGACAATGGAAACCAGCAAAGATATGTCGATTTCGAGAGATGCCTTAAGTGCCTTGATTCTCCTCATAATTTTAATACTAAAACTTCACTATAACAAAACATCCAACATTTTTGAAGGAAGAATTGAACTTATAGAGAGCAATGAATGGGAATTGTTCAATTTATGAAATGAAGCTTTGATAATGAAGTCATACAAAGAAGTTGTTCCGTCAGACATTCATAAATAACAAAGAAAACAAAAAATTAAAATACCTGGTATTGAATCGTCAGTTTGGACGCACAACGAAGGCGACGTAGCAGCTGAAGCAGACGAACATAAGCCAACAACCTCCTCTGTTAACTGAAAAGAATACGTAAGTATATGTAACATCAAAATCTGATGACAGAGAGAGAGAGAGAGAAAGAATGAGGGAATGGAAGGGAGAGAACGCAAGACAGAGCGGAGTAAGTTCGGAGATAGAAAAAGAGAGAGATCATGAAGATATTTCGCCTTAGCACATTTCCATGAAAGCGGAAGTTCTTCCGGCACGTCATGAATGGCAAGTCAAAGTAAGCCGAAAAAAAAGAGTAGACACCAACAAAGCTTTTTGTTACAAGAAATTGTCAATCCAAACAGTAGAAACAGAACAAGAGGATAAACAACACGAATGAGTTAAAGTTGACTTAGGAATGCGACCGCTCACTATTTCAATCATTTTAACAATTAAATGGTTTTCGCGTGAATTGCACGTAACTATAAGACGTATGCAAATGTGTGAACTGCTGGGATAATTGGTATTACTGAATGGTAAACAAGCTATTATCGAAAATAATCGTATAATCTTGCGTTTACTAAACAAATTACAATGAAATCCGAACAGTCATTTCAAAACAATAAAACGATTTAACAAACATATTGAATAGCTTTGCACAGAAGAGTAGTACAAGAGCATATTTTGAATCGTAAGTATGACAAATTCGTGGCTAAGAAGAACTATAATGACAATGAAAAAAGAAATGGGTGTTGTATAGAAAAAAGCGAAAAAACGAAGTCAAGGACACATATAAGTCAAATATTCAATGGTCCATAAGTGAGAAGTAGAAAATAGCTGCATTGAAAAGCTAAGAAAATTCAATTAATATTGATAACAGCTTCTGATAGGAAGCTTAGAGAAATATAATTTAAAAATTATTAAAGGTTTTATAACGATTTTCGACAGATGAAAGTGTGACACAAAGGAAAAGGGAAACCAGATGCGAAGAATGAGACTGATGAGCCTAACAATCAGTTTTGAGATAAGGATGTTGGAAGGTTGTTTTCGTATATGCTTCAACAAACGCATTATTTGAGAGCTAGGCAATAAAAAAGCTCGTCACAAATATAATAGACAGAAAAGGCTTTCATATATTAATAACATTGACCTAAAACGTCTAAAGTGTTCGAAGCTTACATTTTTCTCTTCGTCTTCGTCAAGTTATTACACATTGACAGAGAAGACGAATATCTTTCTCATAAACCAATTCAAGCGTTAAGTTCAATCGTTACTTTTCGGGAGAAGATGATAACGTTTTCAATTTATTAAAGATCTTCGGGTCGAAGAGAAAAGTTTCATAAACTCTACACTAATCTATACAAGACCGAGTGTGTTCTAATGAAAACAGAGAAAAGAATGCTGATGAATAAGAAGAAAAGCATGCACAGAAGGAGAGCATGAACGAAAACAAGCATATTGTAGACTTTATGAACTACAATCCTACCGATCGAATAAGAAAGTCTTTAGTTGCGGGAATATATAAACGTATATGGACAGTGTAAATAAAGGAAAGATGAAACGCTTCAATGCATTAGTCGTTTTACATTTCTCAGAATACTCAATGAAGCTCACCCAATGACTTCTTAACAAACTTAAATTAACATAAAGAACACAGGTGAGTTTCGAATAGAAGATGCAACAGAACACAATTAAGCCCACGCCACAGTGAAATGAGCTCCTTTCCGAGAAAAGATCAAAGTTCCTATCCGTTTTGTAGGAAAAAAAACCTTGTTTTACCACAGAATGTTAAGCAGGCAAATTTGAAAATGGAAAAATTGTTAAAGAAGAGCAGAAAGGAGAACAGGAAACACTGGTTGTTACAGATCAATTACAAACACAAGTGAGAAAATATTAATTTTGGAGTTTGTAAAAGTGATTGCAGACAGAAGATACGACCTTGACTACGAGGGAATATTATGTTGATTATTATTGATTGATCAAACATTTCCTTGCGAATGACTATTAGAAGAAAGTGTGACAAAACAGGGGGCAGAGACAATCGTCATTACTTGTTGCAAACGAACCGGTTTTACGACCTGGGCCAAAGCAGTGAAAACGACTTGTTTAATTTTGGTAAACAATCGGATTATTCAAAATGAAAAGTTTTTAAAATTTAGAGAAGATTGTCAGTCGTACTACGTGCAAGTTAGTGAAGAAAAGAAAGACAACTGTTGGTTGGGCAGGAAGAAAAAACTTAATCTATTCCGTTCAGGGTGTGTTGAACAGGAAAGTGCGAAATCGATATGCCAAACTTGATCTCTGGCATTCAAAAGGAAGATGGTTAATATCATATTTAGATAGTGATTCATGGAAAAAACGTTTCTACAATAAGTTGTGTTAGTGAGAATGAGACGATCCCTATTTAGATTGAAGAGACTGAAAAAGGGAAATCAAATCTTCGCATTCCCATGAGAGAAAGAGAGGAAGAGAAGAGGATACGTACCATCGGGATGATCTCCACTAATAAAATTTGGAGCGTCCAACTCCGACAAGTAGGGGAAAAAACTCACATAAATAGATGTATTCCATCGATCTATAGGTGAAGTGGGAGCAGACGATTGTTCTTCATAAACAGGTGAGTAGAAAGAGCATTTTTCATCTTCATCTGTGGCTGATATATACAACGTTTCGTTCATGAAGGAACCTTGAAAGAGAAAAATTCAGAACGACGTACAAATCTATAAATATGCCGAAGCAAATGGTAAATGATAAGAGGCAAAAGCTTAAAAACATTCTTTCAAATCAATGCACGAGACAAACTCTTCGAAAACATTCTTCGTAAACATCTAATCAATATTCAGGAACAATTTATCTGTTTGAGTTGCGGCTAAATTCTTAAAGAAAACATATAATCAATTGAACTCGTTTTACTTTTGTTTGAGCTTGAGCACCGAATATGCTCAGAAAGATGCTCAAAAATGCTTTATTCTGTTCAATTTTATGAAAATTCGAAGACATTTCGAGAGAGGAGAAAAGCCACTAATTCACGTAATATCATTGCCACAAAATAATCCTATGTAATACTTCTTCATTCCATGCGGATAATAAAGATTTCAAGAATCTTTTCACAGAATACGCAATTGCGTATCTCACTGGAAATGTCTGAACCAGGAGTAGGCCATAGAGTCTACAGCACAAAGTCAAATGAAATGAAAGCGAAATTCGACATAAATGGGTTTCGAACATCAAGAATCAAATCCACAGGTGCAACTTCAGTAATTTCCATGAAAACTTTGATTCATATGAAGTTATTCATAAGTACACAATGCTTTGATTCAAATAGTTTAGCGGAAATACGGCTCATTTGTGGTAGGCAAGTTTATATTAAATTCTTCTACATGTTCTTGTTGAATGTTGCAGAATGCTGAGCTATAAGGGCTATCGACAAAGAAAAGCAATCCATAAGGAGTTGTAATTTGGCGTTTTTTGTCTTCCAAAAATTCACACGTCACAATCTCTTCTTAAGCAGATTAGCAGAAGTCAATTAATAATAATTTGAAACTATCGGATTAATCTTTCGAAAAGAGAGAACATTTACGAAATATCTAATTATTAAGAATTCATCTATCTCACATGACAAATAAGGATTGCACACTTGGTCCACAAAAAGTCGGCTGAGAAATCAGAAAGAATATTGGACCAATTTCCAGTTATGGAAATACTGTTGAAAGAAGTATTTGAATATTACGTATTCGAGAGCTTTTAGAGTAAGTTTTAAGCTTCGAACTAGTTTTGGTGAAAGTGCACATATTATTTATGGTTGAGTTTTCTGTTTCGTTTTAGATTGAATTTGGTGTTCGCTTCTGAGACGCTAGTGATGTCATTTGGGGACGTAGCTTGTAAGGACATCTTCCAACAAATTATCAAATTTAAACAAAAGGTTTGATCTATTACCTTTCATAGATTGATCCGTTCTCCAATTTACATTGAGATCTTCCTTTTTTCCTTCCAAAACCGGTTATGACCAATAGAGGTGAATTGCCTCTGTTCATTCGTCTCCTTCCCCTTCATCTTGTTGTTTATAACATTTATTGATCCATTTCTATCACTTTCTCTTCTCATACGAATCCAATTTATTGAAATTTCGAGTCATGGGTACTATCGATTTCATTAAAGTTTTAATAATTTTATTGATTTTGCTTGAACCATTATTACGAACATGAATAGTCTTGCTTCTATAAACTACTATAATAGCCTTTTCGTTGCCACGTGAGCGAGTTTTATGCTTTGTGAAATCTGCTGGTTAACCTCTCTCCTTCGGTTTTACCTCCCTCTATTCCTGTTTTGATAATTCTTTAAGAACGTTTTTCAGACTGCTGTATTTCAACTTGCAGTATTTCTTGCACGTGACATATGAACCAGAGGTATGCAGTTATAGTTCTAAACAGATGGGGGTCAGTTCATTATAAATTAATTTTACAGGCCAGCTTCTTCACATTTTCTTAATCCTCGTGATACCTTCGAACACTATGAAAACAGAAGTAGACCGCAGTCTGTAGCTGCTTCCCACAACAATTTCCAACAAAGTATGTTTCGAATGTTTGTTTTTCGGACATTTTGATATATTTTGAGGTGGTTATCCTGGTCAATTGGCCTGTCAATATAGAGCACAACCTCATGTAACAGCTTTCATTCCTGAAACTAATAAGAAGCCAAGTAAGTTGTTTTTCACAGTATGTGCATGAACTAAAATTATTTCCAGTTCCTGTCGGTATTATAATTGCTGTAGCAATAGCAGTGCCTGTCCTCATAATAATATGCCTTTTCGGAGCCGTTTGGCTTCAGGAATTGGGTGTTTTATGAACATTAAGTCTAATAATGAAGCCTATCTTGCTATCTGAGTTCAGAAATCTCAAAAAACCTCCAATTTGCCTTGTACTGATATCATTTCATTGTGTTGTTGTGCCTTAAAATAAACGTTTATTGATCTGTTCCGAAGTTACCTGAATACAACCATCTTAGAGCGTCGTCAATATTTTAAATGATAAATTGAGTCACGTCATTCACGTCAACTCGCATATTTATGTTAATTTTTAGGCTTTTAAAAGTGAAGAAATTTCCGTAAAGAATCAATAATATATTACTTTCAGGGAACTCACAGAAATTATCGGTTGAATGTTCAAGAATTTCGTTTAAGTCAAGAATTTTATTATGGCAGACTTTCACATCATTTAATAAGATTTAATAAGGATTTCTCCTTAAAACACACGCCTAGGGCAATAGTATGGGATTTCGCTCCACTATTCTACACTGAACTGCATAATTCGAACATGTTCAGCAGAATGCCCTAATGTAAGTGATCGTTCAATGTTATTTTATATAGTTAAGATGCTGCAAATTGAACTTGAGAACGAAATAAGAAATGTAATTTTGAGTTCGCTTTGAAAACTTTCATGAAAACCTGTATCATCATTGAATTTATTCTTTGCTCTACACTCAAATTGAGGGATATTTGCTTAAAATCTAATAGAAAATTACTTAAAAAAGCTTTTTTGTCTTGTTAGGAGAGTGGAAAAATCGATATTTGTTATTATAAGTTTCTCAAGTAGATATTTATGCTTTAAGTGCTTCTATCAGATTGAAGCTATAAGTGAAAGCGTTTTAGCTATGAGAACGTCTTGACATAATTTTTCTTCGGATATTATATGACTGGAAGAGAAGACCTCATAATCATTTCATCAGCACGCAATACTCATAGTTATTATGGAAGAAAGTAGAAGGTTTACTCATGAAGAGAAGAGTTGAGCATGAGAGAGAGGGAATAAGGGTCAGAGAGAGAGAGAGAGAGAGAGAGAGAGAGAGAGAGAGAGAGAGAGAGAAGGAGAGAGGAAGAGAAGTGGGCATGAGCAGATAGATGCGTAACTTTTTTGTTGGATTATGTCTTTAATTGAAGATTTTTAGAAGATTCTAATTTCTGTCCGAGGCAGATCTTCTTAAGCAAATTCAGATTCCCAGGAGATTGTGTCCGTTACCGTATTGAAGATTTGATTAATTCTTCCGAAAGTAGTGTCCAAAAGACGAATTCTATTTGAAAATTTGTTGGTGAACTAAAATAATTTGAAGCTTCTCTAATGAAAAATTATAAGCAATGACGAGAGGAGAAAAATTCAGGAAGATAAAGCAGAGGAAGAACTGAACGAAAAAACCGTTAAAGCATTAGGGATCCGGAAGACATCCGTTCTCCGGAAGTATATGTTTAGTTGATTCACTGCTACACATCTATCATTTGGTTGCTAAGCAGATGACTGAATAATCTATCCGTTTGTGGAAGAAACGAATAGAATTTTTATATTTTTGTTGACTTTCTTAAAGGTTTATCTAGTTTATTCGTAATTCAGATGAATGGGAAAAGAAACAAGATGAATGAAAAGAAGATGAAAGGAAGGGTATTATCGTTCAATTAGCAAAACCAAATACATTAGCTGACTCTGCTGCCTCAAGGGACGAGATGCACCAAAAAGCTACACATTCTCCAACAAACTGAAGAATACAAAGGTGATCTCAGAGATTTTCTCAGACAATCCTCTCTTTCTAGACAGAAAACGAATCAATAGGTTCAGGTTAATAAATAACTTCATGACCTAAGAAGGTGATTTCAAGGCTTTGCTCAAGATATCCTCTCATGCGTTTAGCAAACAAGTGCTTCATGTCATCTCTCATTCCTATCCATTTGAAATTTCTATTTTATTGGAGATTTGTAAGGAATAGAGAAGGAATTTAAAAAAAAAATAACATTGACATCCTTTATTCAACTGTCATTAGCTGGTTGAAGGGGACCAATTGAATCAGTAAAACAATTCGGCCAGCTACAACCAGCTAACGCCAGTAAATTTTTGGAAGCAAAGATAAAGAATGATCTTCAAACATAATGTATGAAACTTCAGAATGAATGATGAGATTACCATTGACAGGTTATAATTTGTATTAAATTCAGATAAATCACGAATGATCCAAAATTATGGTGAGAGAAAATGAGTAGTGTCAGAAATAGAATGGAAGTATAAAAAAATCCTGGCTCTGTCAGAAACATCAGATTAGATGACGCGAATGGATAGGAATGAATAAGCTGATACTAAGCTTTCTTACCTTCAGCAGAAAATCTTAAATTAATTGGTATCCATTAGAAACGTTGACTATGTTTGAAACAAGAACAAGGTTCATACTGATGCTGATCATCGTTTTAAAAGGCTTCGCATTTTTTCAGCATTTCTCATACATTTATACGAGATGTTGAGTGATAGAGAAAATATTTTGTGAAGCGAGAAGCTACAAGGCGAAAATTGGAATAAGCTTAAATGGCTTACTCGTCTGGCTGACGACATTTTCGAGACACCGATGGGCGTGGTTCACGAGTCCCGGGGTCCTTGCTCATTCAGCACGGATGGCTCAGGAGCTGAAGGCGGAGTTTTGATAGAAAAAGGATAACATCTGCTTCACTATGATATACAAACATTTATCTAATCAGAAAAGTAAAAAAGTAGTATTTAAGCACGAAAAGAACCTTTCTAAGCACATTTTCTCAGAAAACCAGACTGAACAGTTATGAATAAATCATAACTCATGGGATAGCTAAAATAGTATGAACAGCACTGTATGCGATTAGATAGCTCATAGGAAAGCAAAGAGAAGAATTTCCTCTATAGACTACTCAGATGCTGCTTTCCTTTCCTCTTTACCCTTCTATTCAGTACTTTTAGCTGAAGAGAAGCACTTCAAGAGGTGGCAAAGAGCACCGCTTAACTCTCTCCAACGGAAATGAAACCATCACCCTCAGCCATGATTCTTGATTTAAGAATGGACTCTGACCCCTGAGAGCAATACTAACACAAGGAATTGTCATTTCAACATTTTAAAAACCCAAGTAGAAAAAAATTTGATGCTCGCTCCAATAAATAACATACTCGAGCACTGTAATCAATCGATTAACACACTTGACGCAAATTTCATATTGCTTAACGTTGGCGTATGAAAATCTCATCATCTCTTCGTTTTTTATTTTTTTTTTAAATTTTTTCATAAGTTTCTTTAAACTATTTAACGTTTTTTGTCGAATCTTTAACTTTCTCAATAGCCACCTAACGGTATTCCCTTTCTCTAATCCGTACAGTCAACAGGCAACACCGGCGACAAGGCTCTTGTCATAATGGATTGGCAACTGAGCAATTTTTCAACATCATTTGTTGAAAATTATTAGAAGCAGACGTCGAACTATGTCTTATATAAGACCGCGTTATAAGAAAAAGTGAGTTTATAGTATAATTATGTTCATAAACTATAATTTCTTTCTGCACCTAACATCAATTATCCCATTAAATTGATGTTTTGCTTTTAAGTTTGTTGGCGTAGAATTGAATGTGAAAACAGGATTTCATGATTATCAAGTACATGAATTTATATTTAAAAGCTTTTGAAATGACCTTCATACGCATAATCTAATTAGTTGATTAGGCTTTATACAAGCCTATAGTTAGTCTATTATCGTACAGGGGCACTGCACAGGCACCTTAGCCAACCTAATGATGTATGATAAGGTCAGCTGCCAATAACGCTACGTGTTATGAAATCACTTCCTTTTTTCGTACTTCTTCATTTATTTTCTTGTTGAACCATTCCATATTATTGCTTCAGTTGAGAGAAATGTTCTGATAAGCAAGAAGAGAATATATCGAGAGAAAGAGAGGAAGAGATATGAAGAGAGAAAATTTAAGAGACTATGCGAGATGACCTTGTTTGTACATCGCAACAGGTCCACATCCATTCTCTCGACCAAATATTCTCAGTAGATGAACCTAATCATAAACATCATCATATCTATTGATTCAAATAATCAATTTTCAAATCTTTTTTTATCTGAAAGTTGAAAGTTAACAATCGGTGAAGCACTAAAGTTCTATTAAACTGATCGTTATCCGGTTTTGTCACCAACATCATTCAACACAACATACGTTTTGACTTCCAACACATTTTTCTTCGAACCGTTCTAATAACTCTCAGTTTGGAAATCTACTTTACTTCTCTATGTATTGACGGATCTTTGAAGTGAAGCTATCGAAGTTTCTCTGTGACCCTCCCCTCCATCCTCCTCGACGTTTCTTAAGTACTACAATGTCTTAATTGTGCTTTATTTAGATTAAAAAAACTGCGAGTAATCTCATCGTTCTTACAGTCCTATTTGAGCTTTACATTCTTTAAAAAGGTTCCATTGAATGATGGATTTTACCGGAAATTCATGTTGATGTGTCATTTTTCATGTATTGTCGCAATGATTGCAACAAGTGATGTTTCCTTGTAAGAACTCTTGTCCAAACGCTTCATCTTTTTTTTTCTGATATTTTTTTCGATTAAACTGAAGAGATACTTCCATAACTGATTATATAACTGATTTTCCGCTTTTTCTTAAAATATCTACAAAGTCTTTCATGCCGCTGGCGTTTAATGACGAAAGTACTTTGTCTCACCATCTGCTGACACAAGTTTCTGTTACTTCACACATCATTTTTAGATATTTGATATTTTCTTTGCAATTTCAGAATGGATATACATAAACATCGATCGAAGGTTGCAAAAAACGTAGCTTCCTTGCCAGGTTTTTAATTTGTTCTGTTCTCTTACAACTTTACTTTCCCAGGAAGCCGAGACAGGGTTGGTGGTCCAGTAATCGTAATTGATCCTCCCATTGATGGAGGACGGATTTTAACAAGGAGTAAGCCCTTTTCCCATGAACAAAACAAATTCGTTCCGAAATTTAGCTTCATCATCACCGGAAGTCGCAGCTTCATCTTTTCCTTACGAAGACTTAGTCTCCCTTCTCGGATATTTTGCAGAGATCGCTGACAAATCGGCTGCTTCTAAAGGTTTTGTGGTTCTTGTAGACGCAAGAAAAGTTCCACCAAAAGCATTGAAATCGATTCTTAGAGCTTGCCAGGTTCTTTTAGATTCAATTTTCTTAAATACATACGCTCTTCTTTATTAGCAAGCGCTTTATAAGAAAATAAGATTAGCTTTGATAGTTCAACCGGACAAATTCCTCAATCAACAGAAAATTAATGTCGACCTCATACTGGAAGGATATGACTTCAGGGTTAATCGACGTTTTCAATTCACTCATGAATATTCTTGCTTTTAGACAGTTTTATTGTCAGTTCATAAGTTGTCAAAATATATTGACATATCACAGTTAACTGAACAGTTTGGAGGGACCTTTGTGTATGAACCTGAGCAATGGTCAAATGAAAGAGAGGTGTGTACGAATAATGGTTTCCCATAAAAATTTTTTTCCAGAGAATCGAAGCCATTTTACTCAGATTGTTCAATAGAAAACAAGATTTCATTACGCCAAACTATGAATGTCTACCATTATCCAACAACGAAGAAGCGTTCAAAGACGGTTGAGAAGTTAGGAAGACATGTTCTTAATTTGAACTTTCAGCTGAGGCGCTTGCAACTGAACTCACTCAGAACAGCCACAATCATGATCACCAAGCAGCTTCAGATATCATAAAAAAAGCCATCGAAGATGTTAAGGTTGCAATATCAACAAGAAATAAGTTAATGAAGTACTATCTAGATGGCTGCCACACGTCCTGAACGCGAAGCTATTGAACAGAAAAAAGTAGAAGAAGCTCAAGAAAAGAACAGAATGCTCGAAGAACATGCAGAAGGAGTTAACAGGTTTCGAACTTTTTAAGTCTTCGTGTATTCTATCTGACTATCAAGACTATTGGATTGGATTGAAGGAGCAGGCGAGCGATGGCTTTTAACATTACACGAAATCGGGGAAAGTAAAGATGAAGCCAGACAATTGATGAAGGAACATCAGCAGCTAGCAGCTAAGAGCAAAGTAAAGATTTGTCTTTATATATGTATGTGTATATATATATTATGAGAAGTGTTAAATATAACATTTCGTATTTTGCTGTAATATCTGAGAAGAACAGGAGATAGATGTACCAGAATGAAATTCCTGTGTCCTATCTTTCATTTTCTTCACCAGCTCTTCTCATATCGTTATATCTTCTATAAGCTCAGCCTTTCAAGTTTTGATCGACTTGTATCTTCTTTCATTTGCTTTTCTATCTCTTTTCTGGCTTTAAATTGTTTAACAACAGACTCATTGTTTCAATTGAAGTTTTTGGAACATTTTTAGTGCGTGTTCTGCTCACTTTTTTATTTCCTCCGAGCATTTCATTGCGGTTTCTGTTTTTTTTCAACCCTCCTCCCATGTACTCTTCTTCTTACCCTTATCAATTAAAAAAAAAACAATTGTTGTTATCAATCATTTTATCACATAATATTTCATTTTTTAGGAGCTGATAAACACGAGTGAAGAGTTAGCCGAGCTATCCAGTAGACTCATGGCCGCTGTACCTGCTCACGCTATAACCCTTGAAAAGGTATGACCTCGAAAAAACTTTTTGTATCACTTTCCTAAGTTTAATCTTAACTTGTATTTATAGGCGAGAGACCAAGTACGTGTAATAGCTGAACAGTTTTCCAATCGTGTAAACCGTCAAATGGACATGGCTAGGCGTAGTGAAGAATTCCACACATTAACAGCTGATGTAGGTCTTGCTCAATATCCTCATTACTTTTCATTATCTTAGTCTTTTTGCTCCCTCATTACATTCAGATATCATTTCTTTCTTATTGTGTAATAGGAAATGCAATCCTATGATCACTGGTTTTCAGGAAAACGACTGTAATTTTAATTGTTTAATTATTTAATTTTTCAGCTCACAAGAAAAACTGATTTACTGTTGGAATGCTTATGTACGGATCCTCGTGTGACAGATCTGGCAGGTGCAGAAGTGGAAAGAGCAGCGATGGAAGAGAAAGTTGCTGTTATGGGTGAGTTATCTTTTTCTTAGTTTCCAATGTGAAAACCACGTGCTTGTCTTAAATTCTTTTTTTTTTGCACTTTGCACGAAGCTGTTGTGTTCAAGTTATGAGCTCTAACACCAATCTCTATCCTTCGCTTTTTGATATTCAATTGTTTCAGATAAGATCTACGAAACAGTTTGCAATACTGGAGGTTCATTCATCGAAGATTTGGCCTCCTCTGAATTTAGAACGGCTGGCCGAAAGGTAATTTATGATCTCCAATAGTTTTAGGAATGTGAAAGATCTGATCTCACTTAGTCCGCTGTTACTCAATCCAATATTTCAGGTGGTTCGTGATTATTCTGCAGGAATCGCTCATATAAATGACCAACTTGCATCTGCAAGAGAGAGAAGAAGAAGGTGCATATAATTCATTATGAAAAAGGGGAATTAATCGTAACTTCTCAGATGCCTGGATTTGGTAGATGTGAGAAGATTGAAACTGCAACAGTTTGTACAGTTATATACTTGTGAAAATGATGCTAATCAGGTAGAATAACAGAGAAGGAAAGTTTATATTTTATGTTATAGGCTATCAAATGGCTAGAAGAATTACATGATACTTTACTGAAGGACTATAATCAAGTTGGATGTGATGAAAATGATTTGCAATGTTTACGTGAAGATAGAATGAAGCTGGAAGAAACTGCCAGGGTTCGTTGTTTCAAACAACTGCTGAACATTCTTGTTTTAACAGAGTACTTATGAATATGGAAAGCAACTCTGTCAGGTCGGAATGGTTCTACGTCGCTCCTTAAGATTAGACGCTCTGCCACAGGTACCATAATTTTGTTGACAATGTTTATATTGAGCTTGTAGACAAATATAACTGAAAAACTGGAACAGACTTGGGGACGGTTGTGTCGAGCTCTATCAGACAATGAAGCGAAGTTGAATGTAACTGATGCTTTCAATTCAACCATTGTTGAAGTTTGTTCAATTAATATTCTTTGTGTTCATATGAATCATTCCAGATAAGGAGGCGCATCGAAGAAATAGAGAAAAAAGCTAAAGATATTCTACCTGGACGTGATATCGAGAGTATTCTCGCTGTTGAACGTAGACGATTAAGTGAAGACATTAGGGAATTATCGCATATAAAGGATATGCTGTCAACTCAAATCAATGCCAATCATAAGTATGTTCCATAAGTTCGAATCAATCAGAACTCTAGTTTGTAGCGCGCCAGTGGAGGCAAGACAACATGCTATAACCGGCATTCGTAGAAAGGTAAGAGTCATGTGATGCTCACCATATTTTGAGCTATTTAGGTGGATGGGATAGAAGACAGATATAGAAGAATGGAGAGTTTGTTCACAGAGTCTCCTACAGAACAAAAAGAGGAAACTTACCATGTTCCACAGACATCCAATCCCGTTAATGAGAAGGAATCTCTAAATGTTCTTTTACAAGATATGCAGCGACAGCAAAAACAGCTTCAGCAAGATTTAGACGATGAGTTAGCAACTATAAGACAAAGACCTAGTATTAATCATTCAATCGTTGTTGAATCTCTCCCAGAACGTAATCATCATATCCAAATGCGAAATACAACTTATGGTGTAGGAAGTATACGTTTGAGTGATACAGAGAGTTATCTCTAAGTTCCTCTAAGATCTTTCCACTTTTCCGTTATTGAAAACTCGGTGTGCCATCAGGGCAGAAAACTAAAAATTCCTTGTATATATACACTAACGCTCACTTTATTTGACTATCATGACGTGTTCGATTGTCTGATAAACATTCTTGGTATGCTAATTTACGTGAATACACATCATCATTACGCATGGCATTCTCCTCATTTACACATTCAGACAATAAGACGGTTGAGAAATTATAAATATTTTATGAATCGATAGGTAAAACATTATTTAAAACGGGAATTAATAAATTACAGGTGACTTATGGCGGTTTCTTCTTCTTATCTTTGCGAGAACGGGACAACGATCGTGATTTTTTAATGAACTTCTGAAAAATATTGAAGTAGAAGTAAAGCTTTAAAGAGAACTTACAGATATTAAGGAGCTAGATTTCTTTTTTACTTCACATGAAGGTTTCTCGTTTTCCGTCTCGACAGGTTCGGTAGCTTGCTTAAATACAGAAGATATAAATAGTTTCTGCAGTGAAAAGCTTACAGGAGTTTCAGGATCCACACGTAGAGGCTCTTTAGATGACTGTAAGTTCAAAAAATTAACGTTGAAGATGTTGTAAACTTACATTGTAGCAGACACTGCTCTGTTGAGCATTCATAGAATTCTGGGAAGAATCAAGAGCCAAGTTGGACTTCAATTCTTCCATTTCATTAAGAAAAGTATTAGACAACATTGAGTCCCCTTCAGCGCTAAGTTCATTGTTTTGCTCCAAAAATGAGTCCCCACTTTTCTGGAAATACACCGATTGATTAAATCACGTCCCTAAGAAGGGGAGGAACATCGATAAGACCAGCAGAAACATCAGCTGCAGCGACAGAAGCATCCACAGTTGTATTACCCCCATCAAGAAAGGATTTGGTTTTTACTGAACTTTGACTAGATTGTAGTGAAACCTGAATGAGTCTTAAGCTGAGTTTGAAATAACTTCTAACGCACCTCTTTGTTCACAGGTTGTACGACAGGAGGGTTAAGATCAACCTAAGATGGCATGAAAATTCATCTGTTAAATAAGAATTACCGTGAAAGCTATTGATTTTCGAGCAGGAACGGTTTCCTCCTCATCTACTGGAATTTCGTTCGAGAATCCATCAGCAGTATCAGAGGTCTCAGCGTGTAACTACAACAAAAGAATCTGGACCACAATAAGATGATACCTTTGCAATATCAGTCCCCCATTCATTTTTCAAGTTTTCATACTGTTCCTGAAGTTCTCCTCGGTATCTAGAAACCTCAGAGTGCCTGGGAAAAGAGCTTGTATACCCGAAAACAAAACTGATTACTTAGTTTGTAATTTTTTATGGTATGACTGCAAGCTAACTAAATGGGACTCTAACCGATCAATCTGCAAATGGATTCAATATGAAGATTAAAGCAGAATAACGAGCCTCTTCTTTCTCAGACTTGGCTAGAAAAGTAGCTCTCTTAGTTATATCATAAACTTCTTCGAATGATGGCTGTAATAATGTTAACAGTACGTACATTCATAGTGGCAACAAACATTTTCCTCCAAACTCTCCCACAGAGCGCTCCATTTCGTTTTATCTTCTTCAAGTTTCTCTTTGAAAGCTTCGAGAGCAAACTGTATTTTATCAAATTCGTACATGACCTGAATTTCAAAATTCGAATTTCATAAGTAGTACAAGATTTACGGATGCTGTACTAGTCTCGTAAACAGCATACATACCGGTTGGTAATAGGTCGTAAACCATTTGTTGAATTTCCCAACATCTCACTCCCTTATTGTTTTATGATTTTTTATTTTAAAAATGTACTGCACGATGGACGAAAAAATTAGAAATTCACAATTCAGAGCAGAATTTAAGACGAAAGCTCATCAGCGTTAGTTCTAAGCGATCATAATTCAATATTATTGGTTTTAGATTGCATGAAAAGACTTAAATTCTATGTTCATAACTTCTCCACAAGTGGCCTCAATGATAACTCTTTAGTTGAAGAGGAGGTAATTCTCTCTTTCATCTTCTTACTAACTGTACTTCAAATTTTAGATTTGCAAGACAACTTGGATAAATGACTATCTGAAAGCTGTCAAAGTAGCCTTTTTTACGCAATAAGTTTTTAGTTTCATCCCTCTTTAGAGTCATAGTAAAGAAGTTCACGGTCTACGTAGAAGCCTTTCAGCTTGCAATATCAATGAAAAGAGGAACAAATACATTGTGAACGAAAGTATTCCTGTAAGTCATTTTGATGAATTCAAAGAATTGTTTTTATCAAATCCAGGATGCTACGAAGACTTTGTGGCCAATGGAACCTAAGTTAATGCAAGAGGCAGATGATTTTATCGCACACAAGCTGGGCTTGTTTAACACTGAAGCTGAAACTCCGGAACACATGGAAGTACTTTTTTCTGGTTTGATTGCCCCAATGAACTGTACTGCAGACTGTCGGAAATCATATTGTCGAACTTGGAACTATTTATGGTCCTGAAAGATTTTATGTGAGAACACCAGGCACCTCAGAAGATGAAATCTCGAGAACTCTGGCGAATTTCAATATGTAACTATACTTGATTTTTCTTGTTATACAATATTGTTTTCTTCAGTAATCCTCGGAAAATCCAAGAAATGACTGCAGTGAGTACCCTTACAGAGTTGCCGTCTCCGTCTCTTCTTGCGTTTTGTAATGAGACGGATCAGGTTCTGAGAAGGTTTAGAGAACATCATTTGTGAGCTGTAAATTACTGGATATTATTTTTAGAGTTTGCTATATGAAAGACAAAAATAATAATGGCTTCTACTTGTATGATTTCGATTATGGAAACGTAAGTTTGCCACTTCAGCTTCATCTATAAGTCAGTTTTAGGTGTGTCACATGGATTCCTTTGATTATCTCTCTTTGAAACATCTTCCTGCTGATCTGTGTGTTTATCAACCATTATACAGTCCCGTTCGATTGGTTAACAAGGTTATTTTGTTTTGTTGCTCGAGTTAATACTCTTCTTGCAGGTTTCGGAATTGGATTTCACACGATACATCAATAATCTGAGGAAGACTGGGTTCCTGTACATCGTTGGATTTGTAGGCCCGGAAGTGCAGGCAAGAAACCACCCATTTGAACACGTTTTTGACCTATATTTTTCAGGCAGCGATTACATCAGAATTGCAAATGCCAAATCCATGTCGCCGTTTCTGTGACTATCTCTACTGTCAAGGAGATTGCTTTTTAATATATGAAGAAAAACAAATGCGGCGTCAAAATCCTCATATGTGAGAGGTCTTTCGGAGTGATGATATGCTTAGAACGCGTTTAAAAGTTCTTCCAAATATTTTTTTTATTTAATAAAGTTTCTAGTAGGGGCTTAAGTAATCAACTTTCTTGATTATTGTTGTCCATAAAGGTTAACAACCGGTTGGTACCTGATGTTCTTGTGGAGGTATTTTTCAGTGAAAATGTTAATAGATCGTTTGAATGGACAAAACGCTGTTCTGTGAATCTCTTCAGAAAAGAAAGGTTTACTGGAAACACAGGTTCGTGAGGCAAAATCAGAGCTTGAATTCAATAAAACAGTTACGATCCTCCTGCTGACTGTCAGGAAAAGCAGAGAGTACTCGTTTTCTGGGTACCGATTAGTGTTGTTCGTTACATCTTCTAAAAGCAATGTTACTCCCGCTCTTGCAACTAGAATGCGATTGATATGATTTTTCGTCTTTGTGTTATAATTGGATATGCATGTTCGAAACGGAACATACATGAGAAACACTTTCTAATAAGCAACAAGTTGCGAGTTGATTGTTCTCTTGTAACAATACTCGAAAAGCAATTATGCTTCGCTAATGTGGTTAAGTTTGAGTGGAGACCTCCAATTATTGTAAAGATCCAATTTGCAATAAGACACAAGTCTTTTAATATTTTAATATCTTAATATCATAAGACACATATGAAATAAGTGAAAATGGGCAAATTTAAAATGATTAATAAACAAACAATTAGTATATACATAGTAAAAGAGTTGTGATACATGATATTACAGACCACCTTGAGGAAGAGGAAATGCTGGCTTGCCGGAGCTCTGAAACGAATATTCAAAATGCTTGAAAAGTCAGTTTTTTAATTTTTTTGATGTTAAATCTCATCATTATTACACAAATGTCTCACGTGCAACATGCCTGTTTTTGATGGTTTAGGTTGTGGATGTGCATTCGATACATAGTACACTGCTTGCTGATGCTCACGGTGGTGATGATGTGATTGCTTGTGCTGTGCGTTCCTTTGCTGCTCCTGGTTATAGGCATGATGTTTTATTTGTAGATTAGAAGGGTGATGCGTGGTTTGCGTTTCTCGGGTTGCCAATTCACGATCTGAATCCTCATCGTCAACATTGAAATTACCAGAACCTGGAATGTGCTCTGTGCCAGTGCCAGACTGATTTGTATTCAACAAAATCGTCTACGAGCATGTGTGAGGTTCGAGAGCAAGAGCAAGAGTATTTTTTTTTTAATTACAGGGAAACTATCTGACTACTTTTTGGCATGCGATCTAAGTTAGCAAACTTTAAGTAACGCACCTTCTGGAATAACGTTGGTATAGATGTATTCGGGTTGGGCAGCTGCAATGATGATCATCATAGAGGACTAAAGGTTAGTGTTTACCTTCTAAGTTAATATCCGCATAGTGCGCTCCATTATCATTTTTCGCGGAACACCTGTATGTTCCATAATCATCACCAGTGACTTTTCTAATTTCTAACACATGTACACTATGATATTGACCCGATACGGTTTGAGACTTAAAGCAAAGAAGTAAAAGATCCATTCAGTTGATGACAGTTACCGTGGCAAAATCATCAGAATCGAAAATTTGTTTTCCATCTTTTTCCCATGTTACTTCTGGTCTTGGCCAAGATTCTGCTGTACAAACGAGTCGAGCCATAGACCCAGTAGAGGCCTTAACATCGGTTTCTTTCGGAATGACCAGAGGTGCGACTGAAAACACTTATGATTTTCTTTTGTTCTTCTATCTCTCTCTCTAGTAGCTTGAGCTAAAGTTTTGTATCATTTTTAGTTGAACAGCCTCATTCTGACCCCTATTGAGTCTGCTTACTCCCCCCTCTCTGAATATGATTGTGTTCCATATAACTGCATGGAGTGTGCTTTCATCTTTTTTGAATTTTTCTTAAACATGTTGTCACACTCCGGAGCCCTAAAGCAGTAGCACTCATCTATTGGTTGTGAGTTGCTCTCTTCTCTTTTTCGTTTTGCGATGAAGCTCACAAACAGACATCGGAATTAAATTTGTGTTCGTTTTGAACATATTCATATGGACAATTAGGTTTCTTACGTCCATCATGTATCTTTGCTGAATGAGCTATGTGTGTACTTATTAGGGCCGTCTATGCTACCAGCTTTCTGAGCTATTGTGTGACGCAAATTTTACCGATGATGTCATTTAAAACTGTCAATTGTCCGTTTATGCCACACAACTTCTCTAGCTTATACGCTCTATCTGCATGAACCCTCGCAAATGAAAGAACTTACATGTGACGAGAAGTTTGATAGTATAGGATTCGTCAGGTGGGATTCCGTTACTGGCTACGCAAACATATTCGCTCATATGTTTTCGACTGACTTTGGTCAACTGCAGATTTGGTCCATGGAAGACGCTGGCTGAAAAAAATAAACTTTTTTAATCCGAAATCTCAGTCACTTCTGTTGGAATAACGTTGTCATTATAATTGGCTTTATGTCAATTTGGAGTGTTGACTACTTAATTACATGAAGTGTGGATGATTTCCAACTAGCATATGGCCGAGATTATCTTTGTCAGAGGTTACATGCAGGGTCATGATGGGCTGCCTTTTTGGAGCAATCCGGTAACGTCAAGATGTCAAAATATGGTTTATTTAAGGACAAGTGGGCATATGCAAAATAGTGGAGATCTGTGAGAGAGCTAAGTCTTTATGTGGTTGGAGTCAATCAGTCGGATACATAACTCGATGGCGTCAGATGGACTCAATGTTAGTTTTACCCACGCTTAATCCACTGCTGTCATGATTTTTTCTACTAGCAGTCATCGGAGAGTGCAGTCTCAGATTTGAACTGCTTGGGAGTCTCTTATTCAGATATTGAATGAGACACTTAGAATTCAGCTGTTAGTCGAAATTCATTGGTGACTTGACCCTAGGGGAAGAGCATTCTGCTCATGAAATCAAGAGGCCATGGCTATGGATCATGAGCGATATGAGACCGAATTACTGCATGGGAATGCTTATGCACTCCTTAAGAACTAATGATTTCTCTTCGGAATCTATACGATTGTGGAAAACGTTACGGGTTCTCCATCGAATTTGGAAGAGTAGAGAACAAACCTCCAAAGCCTGTTGCTCCATTGTAACGGATAATTTGGCGATCTTGTCGTCTCCAGATGACTGTTGGAGCAGGATTGCCTTCGGCTTTACAACTTAATGTGGCATTATGTCCCTCGCGAACTTCAATAGCCGATGGCGTGTTTCTCGACACTGACGGCGGAACTGAAAGAGTAAGATTAGAAAATAAAAAAGGAAAAAAGTGGGATATTTGTCTGAAGGATTTGTCGCCCGTTGGTCAATTGTCAGAATAAGCGAGAGATGAGCTGTGATGTTGTATGAAACGTATTGTTTCGCATTTGTTGTTTTAAAAAGATGTTTTGTTGTCGCCTCGTTTGTTAAAAAGATAAACTTGACGAATATGATAGACAATGGGAGAAGCTTCGTGAGATTCTTGCGAAAGAATATATCTATTCTTTCATTGCAATATTCTTTATTTTCTTTCTTTCATAACAAAAGGCTGGAGAAGACAAGAAGTTGGATGAAAACAAGCACCTATGTCTATTCGTGTCACATAAGAATTACTTAATAAGGAATTTATTACCAGGTCATTGGAGTTTCTTTCATTAATGCCTCGTAAGATACACCTGTTACGGTAATTAATTAGGTGTTGAGATGATGATTTTGGATGAAAGAAAGCCTCTACTCGCTCACTCTCTCTCTTTCTTTTTTGATATTCTTCTTCTTCTTCATGTCTTAGAGCTCTTCCGAACTGAAATCCATCAACACATGATGACAGACGTTCCTATTTTTCGTCTTCTTCAGATGGCTTTATAATTATTGTTAAAGCGGTAATTGGTCTTTGATGATTTCTAATAGGTGGCTTTCTAATAGCTTTCTTGTCTCAAAATAGCTTCCGTTTAAGGAATTATTCTATTCTCTTTATCCAATCTACAATATGTTCGTTGATTGATTCAACTTGCAAAAAAAAAAGAAAGATTAGGAAATGAAAAAAAGAGAAGAAAAGATGGATGAGAGAAGAGCTAATGACTTTTTCACTCTTACGATTTTCAGCAAACGTATTAGTATGCTAATGAAGCCAACAGTTTTAAGCGTAAAAGGCCAAAAGCTAAATCCCTATAGCTTCAGACGGCGAATTACCTCGAATATCAAGTTCTCCCGACATTGACATAACAGGATCCGTGTTTATTTGACACGAATAGTTCCCACGATCCTTTTCCTGTAAAAAAAGTTCTCATATTGCAGATATGCAAGAAAATCATTAAATGAAACGGAAGAAAAGTAAAGTTAACTCATCTACCTGAGCATTCTTGATCGTCAATACCCATTCGTTATTCATTGGGCCCATACGTGGCTTCAGCTCATATTTATCTCGTTGGCGGAAGATCTTAACATACACATATATATATATATTTGAAGTTTCGATTAATGTTCTTGTGAATATTCTATGGAATTTGGGAATAGAGCAGTCCTCCTCATCGTTCTATTTCTAATGGATTGTTGCAATTTATTTGGCAGAAATGGAGTGTTTTAATGGGAAAGATGATGAGGACTTTTATCGATGCCTTTCTATGTTGAAACAATCCATTGTAGATCAATAGTTTGATTATCAACATCATTTTTGCCTTATTTGGTATAGACGATGGAGGTAGTTGAAGATTGGGTTTTTTAACTTAAATAGTCAAGTACTTACCCTCTCATCGAAAGAGATGAGTCTAGGTGGCTTACCAGCACGTACAAACGCTACCTTAAACAAACAAAACATTTTTTATTTAAAAAGTTATTATGTTTATATTGTTACCATATGTCTTCCTAAGTTATCAACTTTACATGTAAAATCAACGTCTTGCCCTAGTAAGGCAATTGTATTTCCCATTGAGTCAGCTGATATTACAGGAGGCGCTTGACGGGTACAAACTGAAATAGCAGTGAAGATGTTAATATTTCATGAAGAGAACATTGAATTTAGATTGTTATCTGATTGAATATGTTATAATATCGTTGTTGATATCATATAGTTAAGCCATCTCTCTCTACTCTCCCCTCTCTCTCTTAGTCTTACCGTTGAATAATTGACAAAGAATTGTTGGAAACATCAACAAGGAATATTCATTAGACATTTGAAAATATTAAATTGTGTGTATATGATGGGAGTAAGTTTCATATAAATCGTTGGAATGGATATATAGAAAAGCTTATATGAAATGCGAATGTCAAATATGGAAAGCTTTGCAACATCATTATCATCATCAACATTCCCAAGGGGGGAAACTGTGTGTCAGCAATCAGTTCAACTTTCTCTCAACTATGTTTTAGCTAAAGAAAAAGGGATAGATATAGTTTTAAAGAGAGAAAGAGGAAGAGAGATAGAGAGAGAGAATGAACTAATAATCAAAATAATAATAATGAGGATGAGTATGATGAGCATGATGATGTATTTGAAGATGATGACATCATTCGTTTATTTGTTTTTCAAATTCTCTTTCATGCTGTTAACGATGTAAGATGAATATAGACAAACCTGTACAACTTAATATGCATATTGCAAAGAATGTAGCAGAAATATTATTAACTATTCTAGTAAATGTAAGCATCATTGGTTGGATAAGTAAGAATTGAGCTAGCAGCTTGTTTAGAAGGACTTTAGGTGTCCACCAGGAAAAGAAGGGAAGGGGGGCGGAGCCAACTCTAGACGATAGTCATCGACTAAGCACTCGAATCTTGAACAGTTAACAACCAATATGGAGCAAAATGGAGTCTAACAAAAAGGAAGGAAAAAAGAAAAATATTATGTTTCTGTATAGTTTTCTTTTCTCCAAACATATCTTTTCATTCAAACAAATTTCTGATTTGTAGAATAATTGAAATATGATATTCGCCTAGGCATAACCCTTATATGAACTTCTGATGTACAAGAAGAAATCATTATGAGAAAGAGATTATTATGTGTATATCTATAAGGAAGTTATTGGATATGGGCTGATATGCAAATCTCTTTCATATCCTTTCATGGCTGCTTGTTCTTCAATCATCCCTATTCGACTTGAACTCAACATCCATCCATGTTGCATTGCCTTATTCGGCTAAGGATTGTTGATATTCTCTAACGAAATAATCAGTTTTATTGCTGAAAAAGTTTACCACATTACACTCTGAGAACTTTTTTTTCCGAAAAAAAAACGAAAAAACATGAAAAAAAATTTTTTCTGGCTAATTTGCGTAAACTGGCAGATGCCGACTCTGTTGTTAGTCATGGCAAACCAGTGAAGTTTACCAGAAGCTTGAAGTTCATGCAGTATATTGAAAGAGAGAAACACTCATTGAAGATTATAACTGAACAAGTGATCATTCTAATCATTTGATATCATATGATGATATTGAAACTGGACAAGACAGATATTGCATGTTTGTTTCATATTGCAGATGATGGCTCAAGATCTCGAGCTCACGAAACTTTGTATATGGTTTCATAAAATGTATCGTCTCTTCGCTGCTTCTCCACTGAGTAGGATTACGATGACACTGCCAACACTCTGCAAAAAGCTA